TCCCCACTGGGTCGTTTCTTGATGCCTCAGCTAGGTCCCGCCCTTCGTGGGGATGGCAAAGCATTCTTTTTGGTAGGGAGTTGCTGGCTCAGGGGTTAAGGTGGCAAATTGGTAATGGTCATACTGCGGCTTTACTGGACTCTAGTTGGATCCGTAAGTTCCAGATGGATCCCCCTTGTTATAATCCTCGAATCTTGCGAGAAGGGGGGAATTTACCGGTTTCTGAGGTTATGTGTCCAGGGGAGGGGTGTTGGGATGACCTCAAGTTATGTCAATGGTTTGACATTGATAAGAGGAGGGGAGGTTGGAGACCTACGGTTGGTTGCATGGATAAGGAGGACTGGGTTCGGGTGTGGGATGCAAACATCCCGCCGAAACTCAAAGTTTTTATCTAGCAGATCCTCAATCGTATCTTGACCACCACGGAGGCCCTTATTGAAAAGCGTGTCCCGGTTCACCCCCGCTGTCCTGTTTGTTGGGCTAGTGCTCAAACGATGGAGCATTTGTTCTTGGATTGTCCTGTGGCTCGTGCCCTTTGGGATTACTCAGGCCTGGGGTATCCGGGAGAGGGTCTTCCTAGGCATACCTTCCCTATGTTCCTGAAGAGACTTTTGGTCCTGATTCATCAGCCTTCTCTATTTATGGCTGTGGTGGCTGTCCTTTGGCGAATATGGCGGTCTCAGAACTGGGTTGTTTTTTAAGGAAAGCAATTTGGGTTTCCTGCCTTGATTCGTCAGTTCCACCAGCAGTATGAGGAGTGGGTCCGACTGCCTTTGGATAAGGCCCCCATGGTAGTTGCCCCGCCAGCGGTTCCATCTGGGGTTCCACATCTTGGTCCTGCTGGGGAGGATAGTGTTATTTGTATGTGGGATGGCGCAGTGAAACAGGGTTCGCACTCGGCTGGGGGGGTGGTCCTTCTAACTCCAACGAGAGAGGTTTGGATGGCTAAAGGGATTTAGTTTCCTTGCATGGATGACCCTATGGTGGTTGAACTGCTTGTCCTTCGGGAGGCGGTTTTGTGGTGCTTGGAGGCTGGTCTATCGGTAGTGAGGTTTGAAGGTGATGCTAAGGTGCTTATTGATAAAATCAATCAGGGGGATGCTAGGGATAACCGAGTTGGAGCTGTGCTGGAGGAACTTCTGCAATTTTTTAACAGCTATTATGGGTTTCGTGTTTGATTTGTAGGTCGGCGTAGTAATAGGATAGTCCATCTGGTGGCTCATAAAGCCCTTTCTTTGTACCCGACTATGAGTCGTTTCTTTGATTTTCAGGTCTAGCTGAACTCCAGGATGTAGCTATCTATTTTATTTGGATCAATATATGATTATCTTTTGTAAAAAAAAAAAACCTAATGCAGCACAGTGATTAGGCTTCTGGCGGTAATTATATTAAATGGTGGTATGTTGGTGAATTGGATAGGAGCAATCTAAATTAGATAAGAGGCCTAGGGTTGATCCAATCGGATCGATTGAGTCTAAATGCGAAACCAATCTAAATTCTGCGATGTTGTCGTTCGACGATGAGCGTAGGTTGAAACTGATTCGCGATCCAGGTGGGGTCTCCGATGAGTAAAAGACTTCAGATTTTGATGGAAATGTCAGCAGGATAGCAGGGCAGGCCACCGAATGGCGATTCGATTGCTCGGTACAGTCCGTTTCAGCCAGATATTTTGATGGCAATTTGGGTCACAACCGCTATCCCAATTCCAATGTTATCACTTCACTGGGCAATCTATTATGAATTTGGGAACCATCTGCCTCAGTCATCTAATGGGATGGCGGATCAGTGACAACGAGGTTACCCGCCGCACCATGAGAGGTTTGGTTCCTCCGCTGCCAGCTTCTCTGCCGCTGCCTCTTCCGAACGACAGTTTGAAGGCTCTTTACCGCCAGCAACGCTGTTTGCTATACCTATTAGCTCCCCAGCAACCAGCATTTGCGGCCATAGCAAGCCGCTTCCACATGCTTCAGCTGCCAAAGCGCCTAAGGTGAGTCTAACTCTGCTATTTTGGCTTTGGGAGTGTTCAAATTCTTTCTTGCACCTAATTACCATCGTGTTTCTCCCTTTCTCCATTGTATTTTACTTGTAGCTATGTAATTATTTTGTTCCTTTCTGTTTCTTGTACATCTGGTCTGCTGAAACTCAATAGATGGTTGCTCACTGTATAAGCTGGTAAGTATCCATTGGCTTTCTGTGGTCGTTTGATCTTCAGTCTTTTTGTTGGTGTCGAACTTGCAGCCATAATTTGAGTTTTTTTTTTTGCTGCTAAGCATGAATGCAGGCCCGGCCCAGACCCTGTGCTGGTCTGACCCACAGCACAGGGCCTCAATATCTTGGGGCCTCAGTCTGGAGAAGGAGCTAGAGTCAACCTGGGCCTTATAGGCGGGGCGGAGTTGCGAGCCCAACATAAGCCCTCCCAGAGGAGAGGCCCGGAGGCGGATCCAGAGCCAACTCATCAGGCCCATCACGAAAACCATATTCACAAGACCAGGGAGAAGGAATCGAACCTTGAACCTCCTTTTTATTTAAAAGGAATTCGAACCACTGAGCTGGAACTCGCTTTATAAATTTATACTAACAACTAAAGTATTTAACAGCTCTCTTATCCTCTTCCCCAAAATTTCTCAATTTCCTAATACCATCCAACGCCTAAATATTATTTATTCACACCAAATTCTAATTAACTCCTAATTAATGTCCATCCCTACTATCCAGACTCCTAATCAACTTGTTTTATATTATAATAATTTTTTTTTCTTTTGCAGGGAACTTAATCTTGATTGAAAATTTGAAATCATTAATCTTTGGTTATAATTTTCAATTATGTGAATCCAAAATTTTGAAAAAGGTAGTTCTAAGCGTAAAAGAAAACAAAAAAATTGAGGAGCCTGAATACTACTAGCCGATCTTGATGGTGATTCAAAAATTGAAAGTGAAGCTCAATCTTTGACACAAAATGAACTTTCGATGGTGTTGAGTTTATTGTTTCATTAGTTATTTGGTATGAAATGTTGCACTCAACAAATTCGGTTAGTAAATATTTACAATCCAAAGATATGCTTATTTATAATGCTATTTTAGAAATAGATAGATTGATTTCATTTTTCAAAAGATATAGAGAAGATGGACGGGCTAGATTACATTTTAAAAAAAATACTATATGATTGTTACTTTTGAACAATGATAGATAATACTCTTATTTTTGTGTATCATTTTCTGAATTTATGTAATTTGATTATTAGTATATAATAATTATAATTTTTAATAAATTTAGAGAACAAATTTTGGGCCACATTTAAATTGTCGAACAGGGCCTCCGAATATCTTGGGACGGCCCTGCATGAATGCACGATATTCCATAATCTGCAGGTTTATGGTGGCTTACTACTTCTGCTTTTATTTCTTGCATATATGTAATGATAATATCCACTATGCTAAGATTATGAGAGATATGGAGGTTGAAGGTATGCTCCACGGATTCACTCAATGGATGATTATTCCATGGCCGGGGTTGGTTTGGTTTGTCCCATCCTTTGAGGTTAGAGCATCTGTGGTTTTTTTTTTTGACAAAGGGATCACTTATATTGCTCAACTAATAAAATCGGTTACAAAGAGGGGATACAACATGAGAAAACAAATCAAGAAAGAACAACCTCAACATCTAGAGGAACACACAAACCAACGAAGGGAAGAACAGAACAAGAGAAAGCCAAGCATGATCCAACTAGACAAGGGCATTCTATCCTTGAACCGCAAACCAAAGCATATGAATCACTCTTTGCAACCTCATTTATCAGAAAAACTCAAAGGAAAGCTTCAGCTCATCCAATACAGCAATGACCATGATGATTGAACATTGCAACACCATATGCCGCCTCCTGGGAGTTGTTCGAAGACGACCCATCACAGTGAATCACCGAGGAGATTACATGGCGGTGGGCAGCACTATACAGGAATGTTCAGAGCTGAAACAAAGAGAGGGAGCCGGCAGCGGAAGCATCCATGACAAACCAGAGAGCAGGGAACACAAAGGGTTGAAATGCCCACAAAAACCACAAGAAAGAAGACCCACCAGCATGAGCCTCACCTGCAGAAACACAAAGCCAAAAAGAGTTCCAAGAACAGGAACACCAACAAGCAGCACAACCCAATCCATCAACAACAACCCACACCCACACTGCAAATCAACCCAAAAGAAGAACTCTGACCTCATAGAAACATGGACCATCCGCCACGACAATCGGAAGAGACACCGCCACCCACACTGACGATTGGCAAAGATGCAGAGATCAAGCAAGGAGCACAACAGCAGAGGCGCAACAGTGAACGTGATCGCCCACGGGAACGACCACACCAAGAAGGAGGAAATCTTCAAACCGAACCAGCAGAAGCACCCCCAAATTGCATCTTCCGTACCCAAAACAGAGGAACAGATCTAGAAAACTAGATCTAAACAAGACACAACATCTCCACCAGGGAGGAATGTGGGAGGAACCACTTAGGAACCGAGATAAAGCCACCAAGGGCTGGAAGAGCCATCGAGGGCTGGAAAATCAGAATAGATCTGCAAAAACTGAGAAGGGTAAAGGAAACAGGAAAAGCCAGCACTGATCGGAGAGCAAGGAAACCACAAAGGAAATCCGGCGAGCAAGAGAAAGGAAGAAAAAAGAGAGAAATTGGGCAACCGCCGGTCACCAGAGTGGTGTCGGCGGCAGCCCTGTGAAGAAGATGATGGAAAGCTAGAGAGAAGGTGGAGGTTTTGAAAAAGGAGAGAGAAGGGGTTTTTTTCTCGAGTCTTAGAAATATCTATCACCAACCAGTTCACCATTCCCTTACAATATCATCATGTCAGTTGGCATCTTCCGTGCAACTTGAAATAGTTGCAGAGGGTGGAAAAGAAAGAGAAGGACGAAAGCGACAAATCAACCAGACAACCATTATTTCATTTCTCCCCTCGTTTTGAACATGAAAGGAACTGAGCAAAGACAAGAAAAATATCAGCCATTTCCCCCCCAAGAAACATCCAAACAAGGCTTCTCCTCCTCTCCTAAAGGAAAGCAAAAGTACTGATAAGAGAGAAACACAGCAGAGCCTAGCAGCAGCACCATCAAACTTCAAGTCCCAACAATGGCGGACTTCCCCATCTCTCCAGTAGCCCAATCATCACAATCCATCACTTCACCATACAAATTCGTTTCCAGCTTCACAAATTTCCAACTTCACTCTATAGCCCCCACAAGATCCAAGCTTTTCTTGGCCGGAACCACGATTCCACGCTCCAGAAGAGCAAAGAAATATTTATCTGTCAAAAACGTCGCCAGTGATCAAAGCCATGAGCTCAAAGACGCCATCTCCCATCAAGAAGGTCGTTCCTTTACCCCTCCCCTGTTTCCCTTCCGCTAATGGGTCCTCAATTCATGTTCTGTTTTCTTTGCTTCCTTTTTTGTTTTGCAGCCAATGCTCTGGAAGATTTTGTTCCGGATTCATCCTCAATTGCACTAAGCATCAAGTACCATGCCGAATTCACGCCGTCATTCTCCCCTGAAAAGTTCAAGCTTCCAAAGGCTTACGTGGCGACGGCGGAGAGCATTCGTGATTCGCTCATCATAAACTGGAATGCAACTTACGAGTACCACGAGAAGATGAATGTGAAGCAGGCTTATTACTTATCCATGGAGTTCCTTCAGGTCTCTGGCTGAACTGAACAGGGGATAACCTTAAAAAATAAGAAAGCCTCAAAGCTTTTGTTAACTTCAATGGAGTTCATAACCCTTTGTGTCTAACAATGGCAGGGTAGAGCGTTGCTGAATGCTATAGGCAACCTAGAGCTAACTGGTGCTTACGCGGAGGCTCTGAAGAAGTTGGGATATTCCCTCGAAGATGTAGCGAAACAGGTTAGAGCCATTCTCCTTCACCACCAAAATCCTAGCTAGTGAACAGAGAAACAGAACAAATGGACCAAAAAGTTTGAGTGACAGAAGGACAAGTTAACATTTCCTGCACAGTGAACAAATATTTTACATTAATTCATTAACGTTCGTTTTTGCCTTGGCTAGAAGGAGGGCTTGAACCCTTACCAAAAAAAAAAAAAAAAAAAAAAAAAGCGAAGGGCTTGAACCTCAGTCCTTATGATTAACAGCCACACACTCTAACTAATTGAGCTATTCCAGCTAATTACATTAATTGATTGTTCAACATCGTATTCTCAAAATTTCATGTGGAAAATTGTATAAATTGCAGGAGCCAGATGCAGCACTTGGAAATGGCGGATTAGGCCGCCTAGCATCCTGCTTTCTAGACTCTCTGGCCACACTAAACTACCCAGCTTGGGGATATGGGCTAAGATACCGATACGGCTTGTTCAAACAGCTGATTACCAAAGATGGACAGGAGGAAGTTGCAGAAAATTGGCTTGAGGTAACAAACTTTCACCTCAGCTTTCGTTTTATCTTGATTTCCCCTCCAACTTTCTCTATATTGATAATTTTCAATCATTCTGCTTTTGAAGGGCAGATGGGCAATCCATGGGAGATTGTGAGAAACGATGTTTCCTACTCAGTGAAATTCTACGGTCAAGTGAACACAAACACTGATGGAACCAAAGAATGGGTTGGAGGGGAGGAAGTAACTGCAGTTGCTTATGATGTTCCAATTCCTGGGTACAGGACCAAGACGACAGTAAACCTGAGGTTGTGGTCCACGAAGCTTTCTCCTCGAGATTTCGATTTGCATGCTTTCAACGTTGGAGATCATGCCAAAGCATATGCAGCAATGAAGAGTGCTGAAAAGGTACACCCAATACTTTCTGTCAGTCTTTTTTTGGTTGAGTGACGTTGGCAGCAAAATTGAATTCTTACTGTGTTTGCCTCTGGGGTGTTTCAGATTTGTTACGTGTTGTACCCTGGGGACGAGAGCCAAGAAGGGAAGACTCTTAGGTTGAAGCAGCAGTATACGCTTTGCTCTGCATCTCTTCAGGACATAATAGCTCGATTCGAGAGGAGATCAGATGGAGGAGAAGAAAAAGAAGAAGGTCCAGTGAATTGGGAAGAGTTTCCTGAGAAAGTTGTTGTTCAGATGAACGACACTCACCCAACGTTATGTATTCCTGAGCTCATCAGGATCTTGGTGGATGTCAAAGGCTTGACCTGGAAGCAAGCTTGGAATGTCACTCGAAGGTATATTGAAATCAGAAAAATAGTCTCTGAAATTGCAACAAATTCTGGAACTTGAAAAAGTTGTTTTTTCCCTCACAGAACTGTTGCATACACAAACCACACGGTTTTGCCGGAGGCTCTTGAGAAATGGAGTTTGGACCTTGTTCAAGAGTTGCTTCCAAGACATGTTGAGATAATTAAGCAGATCGACGAAGAGGTGAATAACTAAACTATCTTGATTCACAAAATTCGCTGCAGCAATATTTTTCTTTCCCTTTCATGTGGTTCATATTTTATGGTTTTGGTCATGGGGGGAGCAGCTGATACACATAATCATAGAGAAATATGGAGCCGCAGACGTTGACTTGTTACACGAAAAGCTTAAGGAAATGAGGATTCTTGACAACATTGAGTTGCCTGGATCAGTTCTGGACCTGTTAATGAACTCTAAAGAACAAGTGGTTTCATCCGCTTTAACAATTGAAAGTTCTGAAGAAGAGGTAAAAAAAACTAATCAGCAAGAGGAAGATGGTGAAGCAGAGGAAATCGAGCAAGGCGAAAATGAGCTGAAGCTGTTTATACCAGACCCAACACAGCCAAAGTTGGTGAGAATGGCAAATCTCTGTGTAGCAGGTGGATTCTCGGTGAATGGAGTGGCTGAGATCCATAGTGAGATTGTGCAGAATGAAGTGTTCAATGGGTTCTACAAGGTGAATGATTAATGAATGAATGGTTCAGTTTCCGTTTCTTTTCGCCTTCAGTTTGTTTTTTAGCAGGGTTGATGTAGTTTCTAGTATACTGTGTGTTCAGTTGTGGCCTGAGAAGTTCCAGAACAAGACTAATGGCGTGACACCAAGGAGATGGATTCGGTTCTGCAACTCTGACCTCAGCAGCATAATAACTAAATGGATTGGGACGGAAGATTGGGTTTTGGACACTGAGAAACTAATGGAACTCAGAAAGGTGAGTAAGTGTGTATATTTTCAGAATAAATGGATATGAGGTTAATGGGTTGAACTGATAAGGTGCTTGTAAGAATACACAGTTTTGGTAGTTATCATAGTAATTCAATTGGCATCAATGACAACTTGTATTTTCGACTACGACCTGCTTCCACACATCAAACGAACACATAACACAGATATCTCCAATTTCTGTTCCTTCACCCCTGCAGTTTGCAGACAACGAGGATCTCCAACGGGAATGGCGGGAATCGAAGAGGCGGAACAAGGTGAAGGTGGCAGCTTTCTTGAAGGAAAAAACAGGATACACAGTGAGCCCAGATGCAATGTTCGATGTCCAGGTGAAGAGGATCCACGAGTACAAGAGGCAGCTGTTGAACATCCTAGGGATCGTTTACAGGTACAAGAAAATGAAAGAGATGATGGAAATCAGCAGCCCTGAAGAAGTGAGGTCAAAGTTCGTTCCCAGGGTTTGCATCTTTGGTGGCAAAGCTTTTGCTACTTATGTTCAGGCCAAGAGGATTGTCAAGTTCATTACAGATGTTGGTTCCACCATCAACCGTGACCCGGATATCGGCGACCTCCTGAAGGTACTTATCTAGACAATCATCAAACAATTATTCATACGGTATCAAGTCGAGAGATTTTGTAAGCGACTACTGATGTATTTCAATGTCAATAGCTAATTCATGGTTGACTTTATATAACTTCCTCGCACATATGATGTGTTAGGTCGTATTTGTGCCGGATTACAACGTAAGCGTGGCGGAGGTGTTGGTACCAGGGAGCGAGCTGTCGCAACACATAAGCACGGCGGGAATGGAGGCCAGTGGGACTAGCAACATGAAATTCGCGATGAACGGCTGCATCCTGATTGGGACATTGGACGGGGCTAACGTGGAGATCAGGCAAGAAGTCGGAGAAGACAACTTCTTCCTCTTTGGTGCACAGGCCCACGAAATTGCGGGGCTGAGGCAAGAAAGAGCCGAGGGGAAGGTAAGTTGAAGTTCGATCAAACTTGCTTCAGGTAGTAATGATTTCAGTTCCATGTGATGTGATGTGATTGTTCTCTTTCCCTGTAGTTTGTGCCAGACCCACGGTTCGAGGAAGCCAAGGCTTACGTGAGAAGTGGTGTGTTCGGGACGTACAACTACGATGAATTGATGGGATCACTGGAAGGGAATGAAGGGTATGGACGAGCTGATTATTTCCTGGTTGGCAAAGACTTCCCGAGCTACATCGAGTGCCAAGAACAAGTTGACTTGGCTTACAGAGACCAGAAGGTGCAGTTATGCTCGGCTAGCCATACTTGCTCAGAGTCTTTGAGTTGTTGCATGGATGTGTTAGTTTCCTTAATGTGATTGATGAATGATTTTGTGTTTTGTCTGCACTACGTTGGTGCAGAGATGGACAAAGATGTCGATCTTGAACACTGCTGGATCTTTTAAGTTCAGCAGCGACAGAACCATTCATCAGTACGCAAGGGATATATGGCAGATCGAACCTCTTCATCTTCCTTGAGTAAGTTTGAGCTCTTTTTTGTACTAGAGAAAGGAGGGACATAACAGAATAGAATGATGTTGTTGGTTCACGAAGCTGAAAGCTCGACTTCTTGTTGAATATTTCAGGGCCATGTCGATTGTTTGCTCCCTTATGTACATGTTGGAGATAAGATAGTAGTTGCAAAAGGATAGGAAACAATCCGCGTCGCAGAAGGATTTGAAGACATGCGCCAAAAAACTCAAAGTTTGAATTTGACTATGTGCTTTTTTTAAAATTGTGTCATGTTGATTCAATTTATCTTTTAACGATGTGTGTTTGTGTCAGTTAAGTTCCGAGAGTAGTTAGCTTTCAGTTTGCAACTGATTAGGTAGTTCGAAGCTACCCTATGTAGAAACATGTGCTTGGCTCCGCCAATCGGTCTCTAATGAATTATCGGGGGAAAATTGGTCTCTAATAGATGGTTTTCACAATAATCTCAAAATTTTTAATGGGTTGGGAATCCTACCAAAGGTAACCTCCACCGATTATAATGTCATTCTCAGTCACGAAATTATGCACTATCTCAACAATAAACAAGTTGGTTGGGACTATTTCACGACATTCAAACTAGATATGGAGAAAACTTATGAGAGAATTGTATGACAATGCTTATTCCAGCTCGTACTAAAGAGACGAGGTTTGACCCTTGATGGATATAGTTTATTCTGAAATGCCTGACCAACACCTTCATCTCAGTTTTGTTGAATTGTGCTCCTTATGGCTATTTCTTCTCCTTTCTGGGCATTCGACAATGAGTATTCATATTCTTCATTTTTATTCTCGATTTGTACGAAGCATGGTTGTTACGCCGACCGGCGTGCCACTGGTTCAACCTGGTTCAACCTGGTTCAACCTGTACCGGTCATAAAACCGGCATGACACCACCGGAATGACCGGCATGATCGATATACGAATATCCAAATAAAATGATCTTATCTTAGTGGATTTAATTGATAAAAAGTAATTTATTATTTATTTTATGGGTTAAAAAGTTAAATGTTGATGTTATTTGTTGGATACAAGTACAAATATTTAGGTATTGACGTTAAATGTTGTGTTTAAATATGAGAATTTATAAATTATTTATAATATTAACCGGCATGAACCAACACAAACCGGTATATACCACTGGTTGAACCATTCCACTTGCTAAACCGGCACACTGGCATAAACCGGTTTGACAACCTTGGTACGAAGGTTCTTTTGGCCCTCGCCTCTAGTGTTGTTGGGATGCTCGTTGAGGTATCAAAATTAATTGTCCTTACCCGACAATATCCCACCTTTTTTTTTTTTGCGTGCTTCCAATATGGACTACTAGGCTCTGATGAACGTGCTCCGTCGGCATTACTGCATGAGCATATGAGTGGTCGAAGGGTCAACTTAGCCAAATTGGCGATTATGTTTTCCAAGAATGCAATTGAAACGAAGAGTGCGGCAATCAGTGTCGGATCCAGAAATTTTAGGTAGGGGTGTCCTCTATAAAAAAATTAAATTAAATATTAGAATTAAATTAAATAATTATTAATTATAAAAATATCTAACTAATATAAGTTTCAGTAAAAGTTCAAACGTGTTTCATAAAATGATAAAATGCATTCGGTGTTTATACTGCTCAACAAATATCTCTCGACATATCTTACTAGACAAGGATATCCTGTAATTAAGTTTAATCGTTAGGTTTTGAAAATAATTTGAGATAAGAATAACATTTTACTCTTATATTTGGATCTAAAACACAATAACAAATGAGTTGTAGCGTAATTGAAAATATATTAACTAATAGTGGCAGTATCCTAATTTTAAATCACATAAACTACTACTTAAATATTATTTACACCAATACGCAAACTACTACGGGAGATTGGATAATCATTTTCCCAAATTTTAACGTTGTCCCACTACCACTGAAACATTTTTTTTTCTCATATGCAAATTACTATCGTAGATTGAATAATCGTGTTTCCGAATTTTAGGGGTGTTCCGGGACACCCCTAACCATGCATGTATCCGCCACTGGCGGCAATGATGATTATTTTTAAATGTTGGCGGTCGTCGAGAAACTAGTCTCGAGTGCTATAACTGTTGCACGGGGAGCCTTTCTTCGAAAATTCAACAATTACTATTTCAGGCCTTTTCTTTCGTTCGCGTTATAGGATTATCAATATGGTCAGCGGCAGATCCAGGTAGGAGTGGGCAATGTAATACGGGTATTTTGGTATACCTGCCTGTTTTTTAGGGTTACGGGGTACCCAAATACCCGTAAATTTTTTTACGGGATGAGACTTGAGATCAAGAATCGCTACTTTGGGTACCCGTTACCCGTTACCCGTTATACCCATTAGTCCAAAAGCCAAAAACCCAAGCCCACTCCAACCCCCAACCCGCCTCTTGCTGCCCCATTCGATTTCCCAAATGGCCAAACCCAATGTCGAGCTAATTTCATTCTGTGATATTAACCCTCATATTCCTGCCGATGAAACTCAATTCCTGCTGACATGATATTATTAAGATTAAAAATAAAGGAAACATGCTAACACATAAGGAAACAACACGATTCCTATTAGAACTTTTAAACTAAAAAAGGCACATAAAGCATATGCAATTGCATCTCCTTGTTCTTGTTTTGTTTTACTGGGATTGTGAAAAGTTTTTGAGTTTTGCAGGGGAGGGTGAGCTTTAGTTTAGAGGGGTTTTAAAATTTTATTTCCATGAAACTTTATATTTTTATACTTTTAGGTTTTAATGTCTTTTTTTCAAATATATATATAATTAGGACTAGAATTTTTAGTCTAAATTTAGATTAGTGGTTTGGATAGGGTAAATGACAAGGTTGGTCACTGATATTATTAAAAAATTTCATGTTTGATCACTAAAAATATTTAATTCCATTCGGTTTGGATATGTTCATCTGAACCATTTTTCAGGTTACACAAAATCCTATTATCAAATAAAACTTTACCGAATTTTAAATATCACTAGACCGAATACCTTAATCGAAAAATTTATAAGCATTATACTAACTCTGAATTCGGAGGAGTGCTGAGCCGTGGCCCAGGTTGGTCCATCCCTAGATCTGCCACCGAATATGGTGACATACCTCATGTTTGTACACCCTCCTTTAAAGACTTGAAAGTTTTAGTATTAATGTTGTAATTTACCCTCGTCTGATCCAACTCCAATGCGCGAATGTTCTGCCTGGAGTTGCGTATAAATTCATCAGATCGAAAAGAAAAGCTTCCGGCAGGATTCCCGTTAACTCCGGTCGTCCATCTTCAGTGTCAACGACACTTTAACTGTCTGCACCTGCTTCCCCTGCCTCTTCCTTAGATCCTCAACCAATCGTATCGGTGAGTTCAGAGCTCGATCCATGGATCATCAATGGCGGCCAGTCCCGCCTCCCCATTCTCAGCCCAACATCTGCCCTGTTTGCTCCGCTTCCCATTACCCGTTCTGCAACCCGTACCCACACGCTCCGCCGCCACCGCCACCGCCACATCATTATCCTCCGTACTACCAAAACCCTGGATTCCCTCCGCAGCAATATTATCCTTGGCCGGACCCTTATCATGGAGCAGCCCCAGCCCCATATATGCCGACTCCACCAGGCTTGTGGGAGAGAAACCCTAATCCTGATTACGGCGAAGGGTTTCGCCCGCCAATGCAGCATAGTGATTACGGTTCTGGCAATAATTATGCTAATGGTGGTAATGGCTATGTTAGTGAATTAGATAGGAGCAGTAAGAGGCCTAGGGTCGATCCAATCGGATCGACAGAGTTTAAGGGCGACACGAATCCAAATTCAGCAATGTTTTCATTCGACGACGAGCGTAGATTGAAGCTGATCCGCGATCACGGTGGTGTCTCCGGCCACGATAAGAATACCGATTTTGATGATGCAAATGGTGGCAGGATAGCAGGGCCACCGAATGGAGATGCCGTTGGTCGCTACAGTCCGTTTCAGCCTAATGTTCATCATGACCCAGGGAGTAGAAATGGAGATGTCAATTTGGGTCATAATCGCTATCCCAATTCCAATGTGATCACTGGGCATTCTAATATGAATTGGCAGAACCATCTGCCTCAGTCAATTAATGGGATGGCTGATCACAGAGGAAACGGAGTAAGTAACGGGTATGGTGCTCCGATCTTGAATGAACAAAGAGTTTACCCGCCGCACCATGAGAGGTTTGCTCCTCCTCTGCCAGCTTCTCCGCCGCCACCTCTTCCCAACGAGAGGTTCAACGGCTCTTCACCTCCAGCAACGCTGTTTCCCATACCTATTAGCTCCCCAGCTACCAGCATTTACGGCCATAGTAAGCCGCTTCCACGTGATTCAGCTGCCTATGCGTCTGAGGTGAGACTTAGTCTTTTATTTTTGCTTTGTTGATTGTTCAAACTGTTTCTTGAACCTAATTAGCCTTGTGTTTCTCCTAATGTTTCGTCAGTGCCATGGAGATCACCAAGCCTTTGCAAGGAAGGAGTTATCTCCACCGGGGCCAATGATTGTAGATGCTTCTCACCTTTTTAAGCAGCCTTATCGTGCTAATCGTCCTGATCATATCGTGATCATACTTCGTGGGCTTCCTGGTAAGCTAATGTTAGCTTTAACTCTCTTTGTTTCTCAGTTTCTCTTTGTTGTGTTTTCTGCGAGCTGGTGCATTAAATTAGTAGTTAAGTATAACACAGATTGCGTCTGCTTCTGGTTGCCGTTTGTTGTCTTTCCTTTCTCCATTTTATATTACTTGTAGCTATGTAATTATCTTTTTTCCCTTTCTGTTTCTTGTATGTCTCGTCTGTAGAAACTGAATAATGGGTCCTCATCATATGTTTGTTCTTAGTATAATCTGGAAGAATCCATTGGGCTTCTGTGGTTGTTTGATTCTTCAGTCTTTACTATGGTGTCGGACTTGCTGCCAAAAAAAAAAAAAAAGAGAGAGGGAAAATGTATCATATGGTTTGAGTTTTTGTTGCGAAACATGATATTCCTTCTGCTGGAGTATGGTGGCTTACTACTTCTGCTTTGATTTCTTGCATATAGGCAGTGGTAAAAGTTACTCTGCAAAGATGATGAGAGATATGGAGGTTGAAGGTGGTGGTGATGCTCCACGAATTCACTCGATGGATGATTATTTCATGACCGAGGTTGAGAGGGTAGGTGTGAAACATTTTGCTCATTCTTCCTTAACCAAAGTTGTGGATTTTGAAGCCGATTTTGTTGTCCCATATTTTGAGCTTTGAGCATCGTTGTTAGAGATACTGATGAATTTTTTTCTCACATAGAAGGTGGAAGAGAGTAATGTTTCAAAGTCATCTAACTCAACCAGACACAAGAAACAAATTGTCAAGACGGTTGTGGAGTATTGTTATGAGCCGGAAATGGAAGAGGTGATGCTACTTCCAAAATCATTCTTTATTCAAGTATTAACTTAGTCTTCATATGTGTGTGCTTTTTCAGTATTAGCATTTATGACATTTTCCTTTTTGGACATGGAAAACTCCCATATTTTCTCATGTGCTGAGGGCTGATGACCATCTCTTTGGTGTTGTCTCCGTGTAGCTTAGTTTTTATAGAAGTTGGTCATAGACTGATCAAATGGTTTTGGCTGCAGAATACTTTTAGAGAACATTTCCTTAATGACTTCCCTTCTAAGGAACTTTCATAATAATAGAATCTTTGCCTGCGGCAGAAATGATATTGCTCAGTTGCTTTTCTATTCTCGATCACTGTTTAGCATCTCCTTCGAATTCTAGCTTAGTTGGTCTATTTTGATCTTCTTATAGCTTAGCAATAATTTCCTAACAGCTTCTTATGCACAGTGGTTATGTTTTGCTGTCTGGAATTACTTTGATCATTATGTGAATGATGGGTGATGATTACACATGTAACTGTGGAATACTAGCTTCCATTTGTTAGATCCTTATTGCTTATTACCTTTTTTCTCCAATGTTGGTGTGTTTAGGTGTATCGAGAAAGCATGCTGAAAGCATTCAAGAAAACCCTGGAAGAGGGGTCTTTCAGGCTAGTGATTGGTATGGTAGTTCCTTTTCTCCCCTACTTCCTCTAACCCCCAATTTTAAGTACCGAGGTTTTGTTAAAGTCATAATGCTTTACATCTTTTATCTTTATGAGAAGTCCTTTTAAACTATTGGCAGCATTGATATACTTGGTTACCTTGAAGTATTTTCAGCGTGATACCTGTTAATCTGTTATGCAATATCTATAGCTGTATTTTATTTGTCATAGTCACTGTGCTTATTGGTTGTTGCCTGAGATTGAGATGCTATTTGTTCGAAGTGCACTTCTGGACGGCGAAGCAAGTTGTTTACCAACCCACGGCATACCTCCTGTAATAAATTGCTTTGTGTTTCAGAGAGTATTAATTTATAAAGTATGCAAGAGAAGTTAAACTATCTCCTATGCTTTAAATGTGATTTGCTATGTATTAGAACATAGGCTTCCAAATTAATTAAACCTTAAAGATCTTTCTAGAAATTCTGACTTGTTAAGCGTTCATTGAGTAAAATGATGTAGTATGATTTAGATTTAGTGGTGTGAATCATGTGATGCAGTGCTTTCGCACTGCTTTCAGTTTCACTAACAACAGATGCAGTTTTGTTCGGCAAACAATTGACCTTTTTGTGCTGGTATATGTGCTTCGTCTTAGTGGATGACCGCAATCTGCGGGTAGCTGATTTTGCTCAGTTTTGGGCAATCGCAAAGGTATACCCTCACTTCTCTCCCCTCGCAAAACTCTGCCCGTGTATGTGTTCTCTATGTTGAGAGCTGCAGGTCATCCTTTCTGTTTGTAGATCTTCTTGTAGTTGGTTGTAGACAAGAGTGCACTAATCTCTCTATTCCCCTTTATCTGCTTGATGGTGAAAGGATATGTCATGAATGATTGTTTTTCCTGTTCAATTGATATTTTCAGGCTCTTGTTATTTTCTCTATTTCCAAGTTAAATTGGAAAGACTTCTATTTTAGATTCTGGTACTATTATCCTTCTATTGGTCATTTAAACTCACAAAGGATCATATCTCATATATTTCATTCTTAGTTAAGCTTTTGTTTGCCTTTTTTCCCATCACTTTATTTGTGCTATGCTCAGATAGGGATTGGTTATATTGTTGCTACATATGGGCAAAATTCCACTTAACTTTGGTTTGTGAGATTGACTTGATTATGTTTGACCATTTCCCCTTGGCTTGATTCCTGGAATTTCTTCTGCATTTACTTCATTTTGACCGTTGTACGATCATTACAACTGTACGGGGACAGTGATTTTTGGGTTCAGTACTATATTTTGTTTGCTTTTGGACCTATGCCACCCTCTTTGTATTCTATTTGGAACATGAGGAGTTTATCAATTGAAATTTATGTTTTGCACCCTTTATTTTGTTTTGTGGCACAGTTACATTCAGCTTGCTGGAATGTCTTCATTTAATAAAAATCCTGTTGGAATGTCCTTTTCCTTCTTCTGCAGCCCATTGCTATATTGTACTTTGTAGTGTGATTTAGTTCTCCTTGGTTTGGTTCAAATATGTATGGTACAGAAAATCCATTGCACTTCTTCTTTTTCCTTGGTTCTTGTGAATTGAAGATGAAAGCCAAAGGCAACATACGGGGAATGATTATCTGAGTTGTTTATAAACTCTTTTGGTTAAGGCCTTCTTTCACAGAATTTATTTTCATTCTTAATGGGGGTGATGCTAAAATTGTATAGTCGCTATGCTATTTTAGTTGGCTTCCTTGCTTATCATTTTCTTTCTCTTTCTACAGAGGTCGGGCTACGAGGTGTACATATCAGAAGCTGCATATAAGGATCCTGGGGTGAGTTTGACATCTAATCTAGTTTGTGTTCGTGATTGATATGGCATGTCCGATTTTTCATTTGAATTTATGCTCTTTGTAGTTAATTGAACTATTGCTAATGATCAACCTTCTTAGAATGTGAAGTGAAGTTTCTTGCTGGTATAGTGGCGTTTACTGATCTTTGTACATCATCATAGGGTTGTGCTGCTAGGAATGTGCATGGTTTTACCTTGGACGACATACAAAAAATGGCTGGGCAGTGGGAAGAGGCTCCATCTATGTATATGAAACTTGATGTCAAGGTCGGTTTTCTATCTTCATTGAAGGAAGTAAATTGAGGAGTTGGCATTCCACCTATTGTTCTCTAATTGTCTCTGGAGTTCCATTAATAGAATCTTCAGGCTTTCACATTTGCTCCTTTTAACTTATGTTTCCTTTGTTGCTGGATTCTTTATTGTCTAATGGTGTTGTTTATCCGTGTGAACAGTCATTATTTAATGGAGATGACTTGAAAGAAAATGGAATCCAAGAGGTAATTATTCCTCATTATCCTTGACATTTCTCTGCGTGACAAAGCAGTTTTTACGTTTCATATCCCTTGTTCATGTTTTGTCATGGATGGCCTTTACACAATTCTGTGACGGATAGGTTTTGATTTGATGTATGTTTCTTTACCTGTCAATTGTTCAGTTTGATATGGATACTGAGGATACAGAGGAGAATCAGTCATCACAACTTCAAGTAGGGCTTCCTGAAAAGACTGTGGTTCCCTCAGTAGGGGAAGGCATAGCTCATGGTAAATACTTACATCCTTGATTTATACTTTCCTGCATGGAACTGTGAATTTATGCTTCCATCAGGAATTGATAGTTTCCAAATTGGTTTATTATTTGAAGCTTCAGTTTCTGCAATAGACGTGAAACCTCGGGACGGTGAAGAGGACCAAATGGTGGGAGTAAAAGAGCTTGGCAAAAGTAAGTGGTCAGAAGATTTTGATGAGGATGATAGGAAGGGACATGGAGATCTTAAGGGTAAAAGTGCAAATGCTCTTTCTGGATTGATTCAAGCTTATGGGAAAAAAGGAAAATCTGTGCATTGGAATGATCAGGTTAGTGTTGCCTGGCTGATCTAAATTGTTTAGCAACAAATGCCTCAAACATGCTTTTCTGCCTGATAAATACAAAAGGAGGCTACTTGATGATCCTGTCAATCATGTTTGCTGAGGTGTTCTTGTTGTTCAGATGGCCAATACTGGGTTCTCCATAGGCGCAGTGAAGAAAGCAAATATGCATTCCCTTGTTATTGGCCCAGGGGCTGGTTATAACCTGGTAAGTTGCCACGTTTGGCCTCCTCTAGTGTCTTCAACTTATAGGGCGTGTTTGTTTCGACTTAGAAGCTCTTCCCAAGAGCGAGATCAATAACACAGAGTTTTTTCGGTTTTGGTTGGGAAACTTGCAGAAGTCAAATCGATTGCCTGAAGACGAGAGTTTGACAACAATAACAGGGCAGAGTAGTAGTAGGAAGACGAGGAGGCAGAGTGGATTCCAAGAGCGGCTGCGGGCTGAGCAGGAATCCTTCAAAGCTGTTTTTGATAGGCGTAAACAGCGGATAGGCGTACTTGATTTCGACGAGGAATAACCTTCTCTGATCCTATCCAATGATTCGATGTTGTAACGGTAATTGTAGTTTTCAGTTTTCTTGAGGGTCCTTGTCCATTCATGTCTCTTGTAATAGGAACTTTGTCTCCATATCGGAACATCACCCCAATTGTTCCGCTGGTGAAGAGGCTGTATTTGTAAACACAAACCGAAAACCAAAATGTAATTCCTTGGAATGAAAGAAAATTGTGGGATTCAAATAATATTATCATCCAAAATGGTCGCGTAACTTCGAGCTTGTAATAAAATAGTCACTTCCGTTCATCTCTGTCAAACATTTCGCCCAAATTGTTGTCTCCTACATTCAACCAAGAAGAAGATAGAGCGCCACTTAAATTTGAAAGGCCTATGGTAATTTTCAGCTGTGAAACATGTCAGCCCATACCCAATAATCATCATAAATATATCTGTTGAAGGTAACAGACAGAGACACCCTGCATTTTGACGCTTACTGCAATCTGCTCTGTTCTCCCCAATTCTTCAAAGCTCATCGCCTAGCCACTAATCAAATTTTTTTTTTCTGCTTTCCCAAGTTGCTAGGATGATAATGGAAGTTGCTGGCCCTACTATGAGAAAGCCTAGTTTCATTGACTTGGAACCACCATCACCACCAACTGTAAAGTGCAGCAGAGTTTCCTCCGCTTGCCCTGTTTTCCGGCGGCGGCGGAACCAACCGGCCGCCCTTCATCTTTCCCGCCAAGTAAGTATGACGATTAAGTTCTGTTCTCTGCAATCTAGATGGAAGCCGTTGTATTGATATTATCAAATGGGAATTAATTTTACAGAGGTGTCATTATAACTCCTCGTGCTCCCAGTCCATGAACGGATGCCAGCCGGAGCAATTATGGGACACCGCCGGCCGAGGATTAGCCGCCGTTGAAACGGTGGAAACTCGGACTCTTCCGGCGGCCATAACTCCTGCATTGGCTCTGGACACCCTCAACTCCGCCATTCACGACTTGGAAGCCAATCCCCCAGCTTCGACTTCTTCTTCTGGGATTATACGGATGCAGGTAACGGTTTCAAATTGTGACCATTTTCTTGTTTCGTGGCGGAATCACATTTCTCTTTTTCTTATCTGATGCTGACGATGACGATGAACTGGGAATGGGGGCAGTGGACGGGGAGAAATGGGTTGGCGCCACGTGGTTGACTAGTATTGGATGGCGAAATAACTCTCCTTATCCCTGCCCTCTCTCTCTCTCCCGTCCATTGCTTGAGCAGTTATTCTGCGCCTATCCTCTTGTACTCAAATAATTACCGATTTAAAACTTAGAAAAGAAATTAGGGCTAATACTACTAGGAAACCCGAACGATTAACTTTGTGCCATTTGTGTCCTAAAGTATTCGATATGACATTTGTGTCCTGACATATGATAGTTGTGTGTAATTTACGTCCTGACAATTTTGTTGACCGTTATAGATAACAGTTGACCAACAGTCAACCATAAAATGTTGACTTTTGGTTGCATGGCACATATGTGGAAGCCACATATGCGTCACATCAGCTGCCACATCAGATTGTTATTTTTAAATTAAAATTAATAATTAAAATAAAAAATAATCCCTTCTTCCTCATCTCTTCATACCCGAACAAATGGTGGAAGACGATGGACCTCGCCCCTATCCCTTCTTCCTCATCCTTTATTTGATCAACCTCGCCCCTATACTCTCCGTCGGACGGCCGAAAGAAGTCGAGGAAGCCACTTTCCACTCCGTCCGCCTCCCGCCAACGCTTTTCCAGAACAATTTCCACTCCGTTCGCGATATGCTTCAACTCTTGGGGCGGTGGCTGTGTCCTGAGAAGAGGTCGTCGAAGTCATCAGGGGCAAGCGGTGAATCAGGCGGTGATTGTTCCTGCTCCTCGTACGCAGCCTCGAAGGGATCCTTCGATTGATTCATCTTTTGGAATTTGTTATTCTTTAATTTGGCGGTTCTGGTTCAGCGGGGTTTCTATAGGCTGAGCATTTTGTCGAACAGGTGGTGTGCGAAAGAAAAGAGCAATCGAAAAAACAATACCCCAAGATCAAACAATTAGTAGAGAGAGACGAATCGGATTGCACACTCCACTCACTGTGTCCACACTCCACTCCATCGTTTTCGTTCCAATACTCAATTCCCAGACCCTTAAAATTCAGTTCCTTCTCCGCTCCCCTCCACCGTCAAATCTCATCTCCTCTCCTCTGCGCTCATGCGCCACGGAATTAGCCGAGAGTTCAATAGAAGGAGCTGAGTGGAAGAAGGCGCATATTCGATTGGTGAGTTCACACCCAGAGGTATACGAACCCTGCGACGATTCCTTTGCCCTCGTCGACGCCCTCCTCGCCGATCGAACCAACTTGATACTCCACAGCCCCGCCATCTGCATTTCCAATCCTCGATCCAAGCTTCCCCTCGGATTCGGCGGCAAAGCCATGGTTTGGCTCGTCGACTCCCTCAAACAAAGACCAGAAGGCTGCCAGCAATTCATTCGCATCGGCCGTCGCCGAAATTGTTCCCCAGAGATGCAGATCTTCAGATCTGGATTTTTTTATCTTTTTTTTTATTTCTTTTTGTTATTTTATTCATTTTTATGAGAAAATAAATATAATAAAATAATAAAAATTCCACGTCAGATGCCACATCACAGCGGTGACTAGACTTTCTGTTAAAAACTAACAGTCAACGCCGGTCAACCATAACGGGAAAATAGTTTGGGACACAATTGTCATATCGAATACTTTAGGACACAAATGACACAGAGTTAATAGTTCGGGTTTCCTAGTGGTATTAGCCCAAGAAATTATGCTTGTCAAACTCTATGATGAAGTTTAATAGATAATTTTTTTTGGGTAAGAAATTATTGATTAATGGTAGGGATGGCAATCAAACCCATGGCCGCGAGTATCCGACCGCCCCCGACCCAGTCAACGCGGGGAATCCCCGCTTTGACCGGGTATGGGGCGGGTATGGGTAAAACCCGCAAAAAGTTTGATGGGTATGGGGCGGGTATGGTTTTAGCCTCCCCCGCCCCATACCCATCCTCATACCCGCCCCACCAAGATAATTTCTTCATATATAAAAAAAATATGTGCATCAAATTATAATCTATCAATGATGATGAGGATAACTTGAGAAAAATAAATAGTAGAAAAGCAATTGATTGACCACCTTAATCAAAATCTAATTCATTTCTCTCAATCCTCATTTCACTCTTTCACTTTCCCCCTTGTCAACAAGATTATGTTAGTTAATTATTACTTAGTAGATGTATCAGAGTTAGTACTTAATAATTTGAAAAATATTATACTCTATATTATGTATTAATGGATATTTTAGGATCATAATCTTTGAACCATATTAAAAAAATGACCGTGTTTTATTGACTTCATGATATAATATGTTCGTTTAGAATTATAATTAGAACTTTTCTTGTAAGTTTAAGGTATAATAATGTTGGATGTACGGGTATGGGTATTACCCATGGGTACCCGAAACCCACGGGTATGGGGATGGGTTTGCAAAACATTCCCCTGCATGGGTATGGGGCGGGTATGGGTTTGGGTATTTGAAGATGGGTATGGGGATGGTTTAAGCAAACCCGCCCCAAACCCGCCCCATTGCCATCCCTAATTAATGGTGTCTGTCCAAATAGGTGATATACCAAGAGTAATATTATTGTTTAATTGTTAGTACTTAGAATTTTAATGTGCTTATCTAAATCGATCAACACAAGTGTTATTTAAATCTATATGAATTTGGTTGGTAGTAGGTGATTTTCGATCCGACTAATTCAATGCATCACATTAATAGATTGTTTGGAAAAATAAGATAACTTTACGATTAATAGAAATTATTGATTCGAAAGAAATCTATGTTTTTTTTTCAAATTTAGCCTACTATTGATTCTAATTTTTAAAATTTTACCTTAGCTATCAACGTATCAACCGATGACATGTCACTTACACGAAAAGACATGTAGTCGCCACATAATTTGTGTATCAGACATAGTTGGATATTCGTTAGATCAAAACTGTTAATTCTACCATTCAATAAAAAATTTTGAATATAAAAATGATTTTGAATCTCATAGTTTGATGTTGATTATTAGAAAAGAACCCATAATTTAGATATAATTGCCTTTATTAAAAATTTGAGATATAATGCTAACTTCACTAGAAATCAGTACTTATAGAGTTATAGTGGCATTATGGAAAGAGTAATTTCCTCTTCCGGCAATAGTCTTTGCTCAGTTAGCCGAAGCTCATAATCTACTTCATATTCTTGATCCAAAGGTCCCAATTACACAGCAAATCGAAGCAATCGAGTGGCTTTATGCCCAGAACCACCTCCTCCCTCGCTGTTTCTTCTCTGGGAGAAGCCACAGCAAAGATGACGAAACCACAAACCTTCTTCTCAATGGAAATGGGAACGGCCTTCATGCTCCGGCGCAGCAAAATCTGGTAAGTGTGGCCGGCGTGGGTTCTGCAGTACTCTTCACACATTCCCACCCTTTCTCCTACAACCACTGGAAGTCCATCAAAAGGTAAAAATTGAAAAGCTCCATCTGACTTTTTTTGTTCCCTCGTATGTAGCTCTGGACTAAAGTTCTGTCCTTTACACTAAATGAAGGTTCCTGTCACCCAAATGCCCGCTGATTCGAGCTTATGGAGCTATTCGATTCGATGCAAGAGCCAATGTGTCCTCTGAATGGGAGGCTTTTGGCTCATTTTACTTCATTATTCCTCAGGTAACATCACTTGCTTCCCTGACTTTTTGTGTTAGGAGGAACTTTTGTGAACAGACTTGATAGGAACTCTGGTGCTAGATTCTGTAATTGACAGGTTGAGTTGGATGAGCTTGAAGGAAGTTCAATGCTTGCTGTTACAATCGCTTGGGATAATGATCTCTCCTGCACATTCCCACAAGCCATTCGCTCTCTTCAAACTACCATGTCTCAGGTCTCCAAAATTGCTTGATTCCGTGTTTCTTCCTGTCACCAAAGCTCTCTACTTTGTTCTGATAAGAATTCCTGTAAATTGTTACAGATCTCTTCATTTGTTGGTAAGCTGCGTAAAGAAGTTTCTAGAACGTATATTGTGAGCAACAATCATACTCCAAACAAGGCGACGTGGGATCGTGGTGTCAGTAGAGCTTTGAACATAATCAACACAAGCACTTCACCTCTCTTAAAGGTACTGATGCTGCATTGGATGTCACATTCTTACTACAGTTGCTTGCCATTGTAGGTTGATCAAACTTTAGTTGTAAATGACAGGTTGTTCTTGCTCGCAGCACCAGAGTTGTTACCATGGATGATATTGATCCTATAAACTGGTTGGCTTCTCTACAGGTAAGCTACTAATGATTTTCTTTTGTTCCAAAGTCTTCTCCTCTTTGTAATATCTGACAATAACTATAGGTAAGTGCATAAATTTTCAGGTAGAAGGGAAAGATGCTTACCAGTTCTGTCTTCAGCCTCCTGATGCACCCACATTTATAGGCAACACGGTAACTGTTTTAACTGTTTGTTCATTTTCTGAGTTTGGTTACTGGGGTCAAGTTTTGAATGGTAATTAAACCTTGTAATAGCCAGAGCAACTATTCCACAGAAAGGGGTTGGGAATCAGTAGCGAGGCTTTGGCTGGAACTCGAGCTAGAGGTGGATCGACTGCTCTAGATCTTCAGATTGAAGTGGATTTGCTCTCAAGGTTTTGTGTACTGAAACACTCTGCTCAAGTTAAGCATTATAATTAGATTTTTTACTCAATCGAATCAATGTTGCAGCCCGAAAGACGACCGTGAGTTCACAATTGTGCGAGATAGCATAAGTCGAAAACTAGAGGTTACTTATCAATTTCGTCCAGTCGTTTGTATGATGCACCTTAAATCAATTTATGCATAATCTCACAAAAACCACTAAGTTGCTCTCTGCAGGCTGTTTGCAGCGGAATAGTAATTGAACCCAGTAAAGCCATTCGCAAGTTCTCAAGAGTTCAACATTTGTATGCCAAATTGGCAGGCGAGTTAGGATGTGAAGATGATGAGGTGAAGAAATCATAAAATACTTTCATGGCTAATGATTGACATAATAGCATCTTAGCCCCATAATATTTATCATTCGTTTGCCACTTTCCATTTCTTGTTACAGTATGATATTTTGTCTGCACTGCACCCAACTCCAGCAGTTTGTGGATTCCCAGAGGAAGAAGCAAGGTCTCTGATCTCAGAAACTGGTAACTTCCAAGTTACTTGGCTAACATATTTCAACCTTTTGCATATATATATATATGCACATGGAATGAAAGTTATGCAATGATTGGTCAGAGGTGTTTGATCGAGGAATGTATGCCGGGCCAGTTGGGTGGTTTGGTGGAGGAGAGAGTGAGTTTGCTGTAGGCATCAGGTCTGCCTTGGTAAACAAGGTACACCCTTCTTGAAGATCATCTCAAAAGGGCTAAGCCATGACCGAACACATCCTCAATCACCCATATTTCTTACGATTTCCGGGTCTTTTTGGCTCTTAGGGCCTTGACGTGCTTATCTATGCTGGCACTGGGATCGTGGAAGGTAGCGATCCATCTCTGGAGTGGGAAGAACTCGAACTGAAGACGTCTCAGGTACCCTCGCACCATGTCAGTATAAATGAACAGATTATGATACAGGAAAGCTTACTTGGGAGTTGAAATGTTTTTGGCACAGTTCACTAAGTTGCTAAGGCTAGAGGTTCCATCAAGACCAAAAGTTCCAAACTTGAGAAGAATGGTGTGAGCAAAACAAACCCCCTTTCCAAGCATTTCCAGTGAAGAATCAAAAATGAAGCCTCAGGCTACAAGAAGACCATTGACAATTAAGCAGCATCACAGATATGTCTCCACTATCTGACTCTTTTGGGTTCTTGAAATTGTAACAACATTGGCATCAAAATCAAGTATGCAAAACGCAAATGAGAAGTAGAGTATTAAAGAATAACATATTTTTACATTGCTTTTCGCAGCACGAAAATGGCTGCATAATCAAATAATCAATTAATACTTAATACAGAAAAGATGTGGTTGGGTGGTGATTCAACAACATAGCATATATAACTACAAGAAAACTGGGGGCTGGGAACATCAACTTCCCCTCTGCTCTCCAAAAAAACAAAAAAGAACCCCTAATACGTCAACTAAAGGCCTCTGTTTTTCTCTTCTTCCTTTCGAAAACAAGGTATTTATTCTTAATTAACAGGGCCTGTTAACCGCGCAGTCGAGCGCACCGGCACTTCGGGTCATCCGACTCGCAAACTTGCCATGCTGAGCCTTGATGGTAGTCTTTTGGTCCAACCTACAAATTGGTCCACCCGATTGGATAAAAATGGCCCCGTTGTCCAACAAATCCTCCTCCGATCTCCAATTCCACGACTTCCAAACGCTCTCCGGGGTGTACTCCCTCTTGGTCACCTCTTTGCAAGCCGCATTGGGCGGGGCGATGAACCGGTTCCCCTGGCTGAGTATGGTCGGGTTCGAGTTCCCGCCCACCGCGTACATCTCCCAGTGGGTGTAATCATTGTTGACCACGTGGGCGAACCCGAACCGCAACCTGGGCATGCGCTGGACCAAACCGCGACCGAAATGGTTGAACGCCAGAGTAATCTGCATGACCTTGTCCTGGGTCTCCTCGTCGCTGGCCCCGAACAGCATCACGTCGTTGTGGCGCGTGAAGTGGCAGTTCGAGATGGTGACGGCGGTGGACTTCATGATCACGTCGATGAGCCCGTCGGCGCAGTTGGACATCGATAGGTGGTCGATCCAGATGTTGGTGGCGCCGAACAGGGAGACGCCGTCGCCGTCGCTGCGGGTGCGGAACCCGAAGTGGTCCTCGGAGCTCCGGATCATCCCGCCGGGGCAGGGCTGGGTGTCGTGGATGTGGAGGCCGTGGATGATGACGTTGTCGACGAACTGGAGGGTGAGCTGGCCGCCGTTGGCGATGTGGACGTTTGCCCCACGCGCGTCGATGGTCTTGTTGGAGTTGATCATCAGCTCCTGGCTCAGGACGATGACCATGGACCGGGCGAACGTGATCCACAGCGGGCGGTTCTGGATCACGGCGTGGCGGAGGGTCCCCGGTTTCGGGTTGATCGCGTCGGCGTCGGACGGGTCGGTGACCACGTAGAACTCGCCGTCTTTGCCGCCCGTGGTGCCACGCGCGAAGCCCATGGCGCAGTCGGCCAGCCTCTTGCGGTTGTTGGCCCAGTTCTTGTCGCAGCGCCAGCACCAGTCGATGGGGTTGGTGGCCTGGCACGCGCTCCCTTTCCCGCCTCCTGATTTCTGGCCCAGCCCTCGCCTTGTGCTGTTGTCTTGCTCGGCGAACGCCCTGTTCATCATCGGCAATCTGTTAGTCGATCTCATGTACCCGTAAAAGTTTAGTATTTTAAGCTGAAATCATGATTTCACCATAGCTCCATCGTTATATATCGTTAAACTTGCCTACTAACTAGTTTAGGTTCCGTTAGCAGAAACCCCGATACGGTACTAGTTTCGCAAACACTGACCAGATCCACCCAAACAAAAACAATGTTGTTATCACATCCAATGCAGTCAAAAGCATAATATTATGTATTTGGTTGGTGAACTGGAAGCGTACAAGTGTAAGTTTTGAATTGCGATTTTAACTACAATAGTTGAGGAAAACGTGATTTTACGTAGAAATATTTTAGTTATCGATCTAGAAGCATTAAAACGTACGCTTTTAAGATTCAAAATGCGATTTTGAATGTATAGGAAATGCACGTGAAAGGGGAGGAAGAGGATGCAAGGAACTATATATGAATGGAATAGATCGAGGGGAGAAAACGATCCATACTCGTGTACTTTGCCGTTGAGATGGTCGGCGACTTGGACAGGGTCAGGGTGGTAGGCTGCCTGAGCATTTTCGTGAGCCTGCTTAGCTCGCCGGCTCCAGTACTCTTCATCGGTAACCTGACCGGCGGGACTCGCATCGGGGGCCTCTGCTGCCGTCGACGGAGTTACGACACCGCAAAGCAGTGTTACCACCAACACAAACAACAACGTCCCCATCGATCCGTCCGTCCTTATTAGTCCCCTGATCTCTTGTTCTCTATTTTCTTCTTCTTTATAACCTTTTTTTTTTCTTTTGTATTTTTTTCGAAATTAATTCGATTATCGTTCCTTAAATTATGAGAGAATGAAAATTTTATGGGTAGGATTGTTTTTGCTTGCTGTAGGGTCAGAGCGGTTAGTATAGATAGAAAAAGAAGGTTGAAGTTTCATGGCCCTGACCTCTCTGGGAATGTGCTCTGGAGTGGAAGGGAAGATGAAATTAGTTTTTGAAGGAAGAGAAGAGGGGAAGAAAATAGAAGGAAAGTAAAATGAGAAGTAGAGAGGAAAGATCGGATGGGAATTGAAGGGGAGGCTTCAACGTTAATTTGATTCTCTAATTTTTTTTCTTTGCATGCTTAATTGTGTTCTATATTCGGCCTCCTTAAGCTATTAATATTAACGGATGAAAATCCATTACGAGCTACCTAAAAGGACTATCGAATCGTAAGATCTGTACGACACACAAATTTGAAGAAAAAAATCGTATAAGTTGGTTTTATGTGGTTAAATTGATAATTCATAAGAATATCAACCGATTTGATGCTATTACACAGCTAATTTAATATAAATTTTTTAATACTGATATTTGACCAACATGCGGTAAGTGAACCACAATTATAAGAGAAATATCATTATGCTAAATTTTATTTTATTACAAGAATGATAACTTTAATCTACATTAATACTATTCTCTCTCATTTTTAATGAATATCGATATTCGACCAATATTCTTTCAGTTTACAACATTGCAATAACATTATGTGATTGAAACCAAAAGACCAAGGGGGCCTTGGCCCGCGTTCTGCCTGGAGTTTAAACATGGCTTATATGATCAAATTAAGCTAGGAAATCATGAACAATGAGTCTGCTTTGTGGGTTAAAGTTCTGCAATGTCCATGAAAAAAAAGCAATCACTCTTGTTTATCGAGAGCTGTTTTAAAATCTATGCCGTTGATGAAAAGTGGTTTGGTTGGAGCATTAGAAATGGCAGAACCACTGGCTTTTGGACTCACCCTTGGATTGACAAAGGTGTCATCCTTGGTGAGCATGTGCTGGATGGATGTCCTGACTTTAATCTTAATGACTGTGTGTCGCATTTGGTGACTGAAACAGGGGAGTGGGATTGGCAACGATTGAGAACGATGTTGCCTAATGACTTGTTGTCTTGTATTGCATGAATGGACACCCCTAAGGCCGACCTCGGGGAAGATATTACAATTTGGGGTGAGGAATGCGATGGATGCTTCCGTCTTTAAGTCTGCATACAAGCTGGCTGTTGAGGAGCAAGACGATGAACCAAACAACATGTGGAAAGCTTTGTGGAAATGGAAAGGACCAAGTCAGATTAAGCACTTCCTTTGGTTGGTGCTTCACGACAGACTCTTCACCAACACAAAAAGAGCAAAGCTGAAACTTACCACCAATAGCAACTGTAATCACTGTCTCGTGACGGAAGAAACGATGGAACATATCATCCGCTCCTGCAAGAAGGCGAGGTCCATTTGGGATCACTTCAGCAGCAAGCTTCAGGATAAAAGCAGTGCTTCCAACTTCCAATCTTGGCTCATTACCAATCTCTCCCACGATGAGCATGGAGTGGACTTTCGAATCACATGTTAGAATCTGTGAAAACAAAGGAACAAAGAAGCGATCAAGGGAAGAAGTTACTCAAAACCAGGCCTCCTAAATCGTATTGCAACATGGATCACCATTGTTAGGCAGGCTAAATCCTCGACAGAAGACCATCAAGAAGCTCTCATGGAAGCCACCAGATGAAGGGTGGATCCAAATTCAGACGGATGGCTTGATTTTATCCCCATCTAGTTGTGCTGCAGCGGGCGGACTTCTGAGAGACAGCCTTGGCAGATGTGTTGCAGCTTTTGTTTGCAACCTTGGAACCTGCACAATCACGAAAACTGAGCTTAAAGGAGCTGGTGAAGGCCTTCTCCTGGCTTGGTGTAACGGTTATAGGAAAGTGCAGCTGAACCTTGACTCAGTTACAGCCATGTCAATAATCTACAACAGTAGTGAGAATGAGCATATATACGGTCTTCTCGCCCAACAGATTGACAACCTCTTAAAGATGGATTGGGAAGTCTATGTGTCTCACATCTATAGGGAATGTAATTTTGCGGCTGATTACTTAGCTAGTAAATGTTAGAGTAATCAAAGAGTAAATGAAATACCACATTGGTTGGAGAAGGAAAGTGCAAGTTGTTTTTAAGTTTTCTTTCCACTTTAATTATTAGATAAAGTGGTTAGTAGGATTTTGGAAAAAGTGTGAGCTATTTAATTTGACATATTAAATCGCAATACGCACTTTGCACGTTTGTGCGACGCGTTCGGATTTGAATTTTTGGCTAATTAATTACCGGAATTATTTTAATTAATTAATCCGGATAATTATTTGATTTTGACTTTTGTGAAACGACGTAACCCTTCGGAAGGGAATTGTCTTTTTCACTATAAAAAGTCTTCTGCAGCCGAACTTCTCGTCCAACGTTCATCTTCTTCTCCTCGTTTTTTCCTTCTCCAAAAACACAAACACAGAAGTCACCAAAGGTGCTGCTTTCTGACTTTGATTGGAGGGACTCCTGGGGGTGGTTTGTCTAAATCCTACCAGCAACTAAGTAGTGGGGGCAAATAAACACTCTAAGGAGAGTGATCAAAATCACACCTTCAATTCGTTTTCTCCATACTGTTTCCTTGACAACCTTAGAGTGTTTATTTTCTTGTGACAATGGATTCTGGAGTGGAGAGCACTTTGAAGGCGTATGCCTCTGATTCCAACAAACTCAATCGGTTTGATGGAACCAATTTCACCCGCTGGCAAGAGAAGATGAAGTTTTTGTTGACTGCTTTGAAGATCGTGAACATACTGGATCCTGATTGGTGCCGCTAGGAGAACCACAAGACACTGACTCTGATGAATTGAAGGCTGAGCGCAAGAAAAGGAGTGATGACAGCCTGCTGTGCCGAGGATACATCCTCAATTCACTTTCTGATCGTCTCTATGATCTGTATTCCTAGTTGGCGACCCCTACTGAGATTTGGGCATCTTTGGAGAACCAGTACAAATCAGAGAAACAAGGCGCATATAAGTTTGTCACATTCCAGTTCTTTGAATTTAGCATGACTGATAAGCGTTCAATTCTGGATCAAGTTCATGAATTTCTAATCTTGGCCTCTAAGTTCACTGCGTTGAAGATAACTCTTCCTGATGCGTTTCTGGTGGGGGGCAATTATTGCGAAGTTGCCTCCATCATGGAACAACTATAGGAAGAAATTACTTCATACGTCAGAGGAGTTCACTTTGGAGCAGATTCAGAAGCACCTTAGGATCGAGGAGGAAACTCGTATCCGTGACAAGGATCTGAATTCGGAGGCACCATTAAGTTCCAAAGTGAATGTTGTGGAGAGCAAGAAGGGAAAGAAGAGAAAGGCCATGAATAATTCCAACAACCAGACCAACAACCAGAAGAATAAAAAGAAAAAGTCGTCCCCTATGTCCACTAAGAATTGTTTCAATTGTGGGCAATTGGGACAGATTGTTCGCTTCTGTCCTACTCCAAAGAAGAACCAGAACGAAGGGGCTGCGAGTGCAAATGTGATTGAGAAAGTTGACCCTAGTGCGATTGTTGCAATGATTTGTGACTTACATGTGAGTATGATTCAGGAATTGCACATGGCTGGAGTCATGACCAGTGCTGATTGGTGGTATGATTTGGGGGCAACTGCTCATATTTGCAACAAGAGAGCCATGTTCAAGGACTACACAGAGTCGACGAAGGGACATGAGGTTCTGTTGGGTGATCATCGCACGATCAAGGTTCTTGGATCTGGAACCGGGGATCTTTTCTTCACTTCGGGAAAGAGTTGTTCTCACCAATGTCCTTCACGTTCCTGATGTTAGAATGAATTTGGTTTCTGGTTTCATGCTTTGTAAGAAGGGGATAAAGGTTGTGATAGAATCTGATAGGGTGATTCTGACCAAGGCTGGTATGTTTGTTGGGAAGGGCTATGTTAGTGATGGTATGTTTAAGCTAAGTATTGACAATGGTAATATTAATAATAATGTTGATGGTTCTGCTTATATCGATGTGCATGCAAATTATAGTATAGAAAGTACTTTATTTGATTTATGGCATAATCGATTGGGGCATGTTAACTTTAAGACTCAGAAATACATGTCTAGAAATGGTTTAGTAGTTTGTAGTGATGACAGTGGAGATAAATGTGAAATCTGTGTGCAAGCTAAGATGAAGAGAAAGCCATTTCCTAAGTCGGTTGACAGAAAATCAGAATTGTTAGAATTAGTACATTATGATATTTGTGAATTTCATGGTCAATTAACTAGAGGAGGATGTAGGTACTTGATTACTGATGATAGTACTCGATTTACCTATGTCTATTTAATGCGAACCAAGAATGAAGCCTTTGATAAGTTTAAATTGTATAAATCTGTTGTTGAAACTCAAAAGGGTAGGAAAATACAAATCCTTCGAAGTGACAGAGGTGGAGAGTATTTTCCAAATAACCTTAACGTTTGCGCGACGCGTTCGGATTTGAATTTTTGGCTAATTAATTACTGGAATTATTTTAATTAATTAATCCGGATAATTATTTGAATTTTGACTTTTGTGAAACGACGTAACCCTTTGGAAGGGAACTGTCGTTTTCACTATAAAAGTCTTCTGCAGCCAAACTTCTCGTCCAACGTTCATCTTCTTCTCCTCGTTTTTCCTTCTCAAAAAACACAAACACGGAAGTCACGAAAGGTGCTGCTTTCTGACTTTGATTGGAGGGACTCCTGGGGGTGGTTTGTCTACCGTAAAACCACTGTTGTTCCTTCACAATTCCAGAGAGGGTTTCCGGTCACCTGGAACGAGGGTTGAAGGAGTTTGAATGACAACGATCACCGGAAAAGAATCCGGTCGGGAAGGAGAGACGACGTCGATATGATGAAATGAGAACGCTGGCAGACAGAAGGGAAGCATCGCCTGGGTGGAATTCGTTAGTGATAGGACAGAGGAGGGTCGTTTTTGGAGCGCTTTTAGTCGGCGACGGAGGGACATCTAATCGGCGTAGACGAGATAGGAGTGGCCGCTCTCGTGGAAGAAGATAGGGCAGTTTGTAAATTTTAGGGGTGTTTGTTCGATTGATTTTAAGTTAGTTCATTAGGGTTAATCTAGTAATTTTATATTGTAAGTTAGGGCGATAATAGCAAGGAGATGTTGCCATTCAGTTAGGAAGGGAATTAGCACTCTAACCCAATCTTTTTACTTGGGCCCTTAAGACCTTGTTGGGATCCATTCGGTTATATTAATATTGGGCCTACTAAGCCTGTTTGAATCATTATTCCCCACGCAGGCCCGCACTAGGCTTCACCGAAACGGAAGCAAAAGCGGGAGGGACGTCAATTGGCTGCCTGTTGCTCTGCTGAGATGGATTTCACTCTCGGCCAATCTTCTCCGTGAGGCTAGCTTAGCTAGCTGCCATATTTCCAGAATGATGCCAAACCCAAAACAAAGAATAACATTCTTTTGTTGCCTTTGTCTCTTGGAGGGATCGGATACCCGCGAAAAAGCACTTCCCACTACCACACCAATGCCCAATCGATAACACTATGGCAAAGCCGCAGCGGGAAGAGGTGAGTGAAGAAGATCAACACTAACTGCCTTTAACTGTTCAGATGCCCGGCTATCAGAACTGGAAAGGAATTGAAGCTTATTTCTGATCATTCGGTATACCTTACCTGACCTGGATTGAACAATTCTGAGGTGTCATAGGTGTGGGTGGCGAACAGTATAATTACTAGAAGTCTGGATCTCATCCGATCCGGAGCATAGCAATGTAGGAAAGTAAGCATTGAGGATCGTTGATAGATAGATGGCAAAAGAAGAATAATAAAAAGGGAAACCCAAAAGGCAAAAGGTGATGCTTTTTACAATTGAGCTGCCTTTTTCCCCCCTGCTCTGCTTTTCTTCCAATTTCAAGAAGAGGTTGACGAAAAAGTAGTTGTGGAGGGGACAGGGGAAGGGCTGGAGGAGGCGGGACGACGGAATCGTGTGCCCAATTTCAACGGCATCTCCTCCCAGATTTTATGCCACAAATGAAATCATCTCGATCTTCTCTTCTGTGTTGTGGTGTGTTCATATTCCCCTTAGCCGGGCAGTAGCTAGGTGTAGGGCAGCATCCCTGCCCAAACTACGAGTGGGAAACTGTGGAAAAGGGTACCCCCTAAAGGGAAAAGAAGGGGAAAAGGATTACTCAAACCAATCAAATCGATTTGCTGTAACCTGCTATGTCAAGAACCAGCTGGAAGTATATGATTATACATAACAATTTGGTCTTCAATTTTTGTTACAATGGAACTAGGGATGGCAATGGGTAGGGTCGGGGACGGATAGTGCATATCCGTTACCCTACTCAAAGTAGTTCGGGTTTTACCCATACCCACATGTGAAACGAGTAGAAAATTAAAACCAAGTTCATACCATTCGGGTTTCGGGTATCCGCGGTTATCCATGGGTAATGATTTTTCTTCATAACTATAACCAATATGTTAACATTCACACGTATTCTCACATTACGTAAAAAGAAAAGTACGACAATAATTCACTAGAATGAAGAAAATTAATTAAAACAACACAATTTCATGAAAATATTATATTTATATGCTAAATATAAAATATGTTAGAGAAAAAATGATTATTTCTAGACAGAATACATATGCATGTGTATAATCGGGCGGGTTCGGGTTAGATAGTGAGAAACCCATGCCCACCCATTACCCGCAATATTCAGGTTCGGATTTTACCCATACCCACTAAATGTCCTTCGGGTTCGGGTTCTACCCTACCCGATTAGGCCGAATTCGGGCGGATATCCACAGTTACAGATATTTTTGTCATCCCTAAATGGAACTCTTAATATGTATTTCACACAAGAAATGGATACAAAAGGTCACACAATGGAACTCTTAATATGTTATTATAATATTATTAGGATTATTATCAATATGGTTAGTAGTCTTTAAGTCATATTAGGATAGTCTATTAGGTTTTTCCAGCAATTCCCTATATATATGTACTTTGTGAATCATTTGTAATCAATAAGAAGAATATTAAGAAAAGTCTCTCAAACCCTAATCACTATATCCTCTCAATTCTCATTCTCAATCTCTCTAAGGACTAGGCCAATTCTCTATCATTCTCTTTTTCTTTCCCAAATCTCAATCACTAAGTTTGTTCGTATAAATCTTAAATTGCAAATATCAAACCAACAGGAACTTTGTTCATATCAATTGGTATCAGAGCATGGTTCCGAGAGCGAGTTCGTCACAACTCTCAACCACGGTCGGGTTCCTACCAGTCAAAGCTCCGATAAGTACATCATGACTCACCATTAAGGAACTGCTGGACCAGCTAGAGGCGACTCTCGAGGCTACCTGGGCCGAGAGGAAGGCGGCGGTTTGCGGCTCGACGGCCACCCTTGCGACTTGACGGACTAAAGCGAGACCCAAGGCAGGGCCGAATGACGTTGTTTTCGCGGTGATGGCAGAGGTGGAGGAAGAGATTCCGACCGAAGCGGTTTTTGGCGCGGAGGCGACGGCTAAGGTCGAGCGACTGGAGATGGCTTCGAATCACGGGGAGGTGTGATCGGGGATGAGATGCGACCTGGTCATGTCTCTTATTCGCTTGGAGGTGGGCTCGATGCCAAGGAGGGATAAGAAGGAAGCGACGAGCTGTTGGTCGGGTTCGACGAGGGGATGGAGGCTGAAGCCGACTGGACTTGCTGTCGGGGAATCTCTTTGCCGCCGCTGAAGGAGATGTTGGAGTCGAAGAATGAGATGGAGGAGGGCGACGACGAGTTCTTTCAGCATCAAAACCCTAGTTCGCCAACCTTGGGTCAACAAAGGTCGGGTTAGATGGGTTGTGTAGGAGCCTGGGTTGCCCGGTCAGGCGTATCAAACTTTGAGTCGACTCATGTAGGCCTTGACGGGTCAAAGCGGATGAAAAAGAAGTGGGCCACGAGAAGGTGGAGTTGCGAGCTGAAACTAGGAGGAAGGTGGGCTGGGCAAGGTCTTGGGTGCAGGCTGAACAAGAAAAGGGTCAATGTATTTGAAACGAAGGTTGAGCATTGTTTTCTGAGCAGGCCTGGGACACATACAGGCTATCCACTAGGCTCAATGGCTTGGGAAGGGATGGTGCATAATTGGAAGAAAAGGAAGCGAAAGAAATGGAGGAATCAACGTGTCAGTTGCGACATCAAGGTGGGAATGTGGGTCAAGTTTGTCAACCTTGAGGGCAAGGTTGGTCTAAAGGGAAGGGGATGATGGAAACACGATTTATTAGGATTATTATCAGATATGGTTAGTAGTCTTTGAGTCATATTAGGATAGTCTATTAGGTTTTTCCAGTAATTCCCTATATATATGTATTTTGTGATTCATTCGTAATCAATAAGAAAGAATATTAAGAAAATTCTCCCGAACTCTGATCTCTCTATCTTCTCAATTCTCGTTCTCAATCCCTCTAAGGCCTAGGTCGATTCTCTATCATTCTCTTCTTCTTTCCCAAATCTCAATCCCTAATTCTGTTCAGATAAACCCTAATCCCCAAATATCAAACCCGATAGGAACTTTGTTCCTATAAGAAAGGAGGTCGAGAATGGTGATCTAGAGAGAGAATTCCTAGCACAAAATCTGGCAACCTAGTCAGCTTTAACATTACGTTTTCTAGATGAGGGTTAAAAGCAATAGAGGAGTCTATGAGATAGCCATGACATGCCGATGACATTTCGATTGATAATGCAAAACGCTCAAAGATGGTGCGAGTATCAACTCTTCGAGAAACTTATGTGCTTTTGCTGTCATCAGGTATGCACAAAGCAGGGTGTCAGCTACCTTGTCAAAAATATGTTCATGGCAATTAATGACTACAATGTCAAATGTCGACTCATGGCCCATCACAGCGAATTTCATAAAAGAGATTACTTAGTGCTAAAGCTATTTGTAGCTGGAGAGTCATTAGATGAAGCGGAGGGGTGGAGTGGTCCTAGGGCAGGATGTACATTAAAGAAAGTTACGAATTGGTTAAAAAGCGGGGGGGGGGGGGGGGGGGGGGGGTTCACGACCCACGAGTTCACATAGCGTGAAACCTTTTCATTCATACTTCTCATTTCAAAAAAGAAAAGGCTTAATTGCAAGTTTGGTCACTTGAATTGCAACAAAATTTCATGTTTGCCACTCAAATTAATTTATTCCATTCATAGTCACTTCAATTAGTTGAATAGTCCAATTTCCCATCTGTTCAAAAATCCAATCGCCAAAGGAGGGATGGACGCCGCCGCGCTGAATCCCTTCCCCCAATCTCTTCCTCCCGCGTCTCTTCTTCATCGCGCACTGCTTCTGTTTTCTACAGCGAAGAAGACGAAATTGAGAAGTGCAAGAAGACTATCATAGAGGCAGAAGAGGGTTTAGATGTCAACTCAGATGATCGAAGGCAGTGGCGGACCCAGGAATTTTACATAGGGGTGTCCCCTTTAAAAAATAAATTAAATAAATAAATTTTAAATAATTAATAAAAATTAAATAATTCTTAAATAAGAAAATACTTGACTCGTGCAACTTAAAAAAGTCCACTATGTGTTTTCATATTCGGAAATAATTGGAGAATACATTTGGTGCCTACTTTGCTCAAGAAAACTGTATTTGTGTATCCTACTAGACAATCATTCACGAACTGATCACATATTCGATTCCTAAACTTGTTTTTTTATGTAATCCAAAGCTGAAAAGACTCTTTCAACACTTATCGTACAACCATAAAATCAATACAAATTAAGGGTAGCTTGAAATTTGTTTAATTGTTAGGTTTAGAAAATAATTAGAGATAGTGAATGACATCTTACTATTACACAGTGTTTAAAATCGAACAACAAATGAGTTGTAGCTTGTATGCTTGTAGCTTAGTGGAAATTATGTTTATTAATAATCATAGACTAGGTTTGAATTACCCAAACTACCACTTATATTCTCATACCCAAACTAGAAGATGAGAGTAGGATAATCATTTGTTCAAATTTCAGGAGTGTCCCCGACTATCATTTTTTTTTGTTTATACGTAATTTCCCACCGGGTGTTAAATAATCATTTTCCAAAATTTAGGGGTGTCCCGTGACACCCCCCAAATATGTGTGGGTCCTCCCCTGATCGAAGGACAATTTATAGTTCAGATGAAGATGAGGACAGTCACCAGACACAAGAGTTTCAAGCTGAGAGAGACATGGAGAGCCCTACTTTCGCTGTTTCTCAAAGATTTGGCATCTTCGACATGTTGAAAGAGGCCATAAAACAGCATGCCTTTGTGAAAAAGCGCTCTATTCGTTTCAAGAAGAACGATAAGACGAAGCTGCAAGCAGTATGCGCTGATCCATGTGATTGGTATATATGGGCCTCCAAGATGAGTCTTACAGATGCAGTGCAGATCAAGAAGTGCAAGCTACAACATTCTACAGATTGCCAGAGGACTTTTAAAGTGAAGTTTGCAACTGCAAAGTTTTTAGGTGAGAAACTTGCTAGGAAGATGGCAGCATACAAGAATATGAGCAAGAGGTTGCTCAAACAAATCTGCAAGGAAGACTTTAAGGAAGATGTATTGGATTCAAAGGCATGGAGGATTCGAAGGGCAGCTCTTGGTCATGTTAGGGGTAGTTTTAGAGAGCAATTCCTAGGGCTATACCATTATGTCGAGGAATTGAGGAGGAGCAACCCAGGTTCTACTATGATCATAGAGCAGAGAAACCATCACTTTGATCGGATTCAAAACTGGATTTCAAGGCTGGTTGCAGGCATGTTTTGGTTATAGATGGATGCTTTTTGAAGCATGAGTATGGAGGACAACTGCTTTCAGCTGTGGGTATTGATGCAAATGACCAGTACTTTCCAGTTACCTTTGCTCGTGCACCTGTGGAGAATAAGGAGAATTGGGAATGGTTCTTGGAGCTCATCTCTAGTGACTTGGAGGTCATGGACAATCCCGGATGGACTTTCATGTCCGACAAACAAAAGGTATGCTTTCAATATTGATATCTTGTTTTTGGGCTTACAACTATAACATTTCCATATTATGAAGTGTGTTATTGGTGTTTTAGGGACTAGTGCTAGCTCTTGATGGACTCTTCCCAACCTATGAGAAGAGGTATTCTGCAAGGCACTTGTGGACCAACTTCAAGAGTGCGTGTGGGGGGGCCCAACACATGAAGAACCTCTTCTGGGCAGCAGTTAGAGCGGAAACAGTTCCTGAATTTTTAGTGCAAATGCTAGCCCTAGCAGAGTACAATAAGGCATCCTATGATTGGTTGATCGAGAAGCCATTCTACCATATGACAAGGTCACATTATTAGACCCTCTGCAATTCTAAGATTCATACAAGCAACTTGGTGGAGAGTTGGAACAATGTGATTATAAAAGAGAGGGATATGGGTCCTATATGCATGTAGGAGGGGATTAGAAGAAACTTGATGGTGTTATATGCCCACAGAAGGCATGTGGTATCTAATTGGACGACTATGTTCACTGAGAAGATTGAGAATGAGCTAGACGAGACTACTGAAGAAGCATTAAAGTGGCCAGCATAAAGTAATGGGAACGGTCAATTTGAGGTGAGGTGGCACAACATCCAAGTTGTGGTCAATTTGAAGAAGAAGACCTGTACGTGTAGACATTGGGAGTTGACCGACATTCCGTGTGAGCATGCCATTCAGACAATCAGGAAGGTAAAGCTTTTGATCAAGGACAATGTTGTTGATTGCTACCTGAGGGAAACAACATCTAAGATTTACCAGTTCTCCATTTCACCTACTAATGGCAAGGAGTATTGGCCAGTTTCTGAGTTGGGGGGTTGTGGAGTCCCTCCAGTTGCAAACCCGAAAAGGTGGGGCAGACCAAAGAAGCAGCGAAGAAAGGGACTCGATGAGGATGAGAAGGGAAGAAGAAACATAAGAAGGGTGAAAGGGAATCATCAAAGGCGGAAGGAGGGAAGTACACGTGCACTATATGTGGGATTATTGGGCACACCAAACTGTTCCATAATGAAGAAAGGAAGAAACAGGTGGAGGAAAGGATACATGCTAAGGAACAGGATAAGGAAGAAGCTAAAAGGGCGAAACAGCTCGAAAAGAGCAGAAAAAGTTGGTTGGCAGCCCTACAAAGGCAGCAACAGAGGGCTGCAAAAGCGGCAGCTTCATTGCCATTGAGTCCGCCCAACACTGTCCAGCTCATGCCAGATGTGTTGATCCATTCACTTGTACAATTTTGCTTTCTAATCAAGTCCTACTATCTTCTGATGTCGCTTTAACTTTGCAGGGAACTACTAGGAGGCCATGAAGTCAGACATCACAGCAGCTCAGCCAAGGATGTGGAGCATCACAAAATGCAAGCCAAGTGACTCAAGAGAACGAGTGAAGATTAGTTACAGTTTAGGTCCAAATGATAATTACTATTTTGAAGCCTCCAATTGGCCAGTAAATGTAGACTTGATATATTGACAAACTAGTAGAAGTTGAATGTTTCTTTGTCGTATTAGCTAGCCAATTAGGTCATGGTGAATTGCTCTTTTGGAAAAATATTGTTCTCGAAACTATAATTATCATTTGGACCTTGTAAGACTATAAGTTTTATGAATGACTATCAGGTTTATCAAACTTCCAGTATCATTGGAAGGTTCTTTTGCACAAATACGTGCCTTGTTGTTCCATTCATGCTGCTACTTGTGAGTGACCAATTATGATACAACATTGCGTTTCAAGTGACCAAATGTAAAACCATTTTGCATTTACAGTGACCAAATATGAAACGAATGTGCAATTTAAGTGACCATTCATGATACCAATTTGCAATTCAAGTGACCAAACATGAAACAATTTAGCAATTCAAGTGACCATAGCTGAAATAGACAATACTAGGTTACACATTGTCAACAACTAGACAGATCCTTCGATTACAACACCTACACATAAATAGATTACAATAGCTACAACTACAGAGACGACTTATCACTTTCCTATCCAAAACAAAGAGAATACAATAACTCCTAAAATGATGAACGACACCGTTTTCCGATCAAACTTGGACAACTTGTTTTGCCTCTTCTCTAGCTCCCGAATTCGACGACGAAAGTTTAGCACCACATTTCTCATATGCTCATCAAGGGCTGGGTCAAGCCATATGAAGTAGTTACATGCTCCATTTGTCTACACATCATCGCACAAAAAAAAGGATGAAAAAGGCAAAAAAAATAGTCAAATTGTGACATTAAAAAGGAAACAAAGGTGGATGCAATCTTACCCCCATATCTGCTGCATCCATAAAACCTTCTCCCTGGATTCGACTCAGTCCAGCTCGTCTTCAGATCTGTTGGCTCTCCACAGTGACAGAAGGGTGCCGCCATTGGTAGAGGGGAAGTGAGAGGAGGAGGAAAGGAACAGATGGATGGAGAGGGGGCAATTCTCGGGCAAATTCAAAAGGAGGAAGAGAACAAATGGTTACGGAGATGTCGTTCTTCGTTTAGAGGGGGTAGACTTATAAAAAGGGCTAAATTCAAAGGGGTCGGGTCTCGGGTTGGGTCTCGATTTGGCTTACGGGTTGGGTAGGGAGGGCTGACATGGCGGGTAAATATGATATGGCGGGTAGAGTCGTCGTTTTTTAGTGTTTTATTGAGCTGACTGGGATTTTTCGTTTGCCACGTCATCACTTAACACCCTCCGTTAGTGGAGTCTAACGGAGGTTAACGGACTGTTCAACTAATTTAAGTGACTATAAATGGAATAAAAAAATTTGAGTGGCAAACGTGAAATTTTGTAGCAATTCGAGTGACCAAACTTGCAATTAAGCCAAAAAGAAAAGCTATGCTTTCGGATTTTGCATCTTGTTAGAAGAATTGATGCTAGAAATGAAAATGTTTGCAATGCATATCAACAAAGTCTAGTCTCCTCTATCATTTCGATTACATTATTACATGCATGAGCTCGCAAACCTAGTTAGTAGCCGAAATTCAGAAAATCTGTTTAGAAGAGCCGGTGGAGAGTTGGCTTCCCCATAGATTATATATCTAATCTTGTAATTAACCTTAATCTATTGCCTCTCCAATTTCCATGCCAGTCAGCAGAAGTTGTTTAACTGCACAATTATCACTATTTAAGTTCCCCTAAATTCGTTGTGTGTGTAAAGAGAAACCTTCTCGAGAGAGAATGGAATCTCAGTTTCCCACTGTCCACTTTCCCGCCAATCCCATAAAAATAAAAAAATAAAAAATAAACCACCCAAAACAGAACCTCAGAAAGTGAAAAAGGTGAAGAAGAGAGAAGAATCCCCAGCCCAGCTTAGTCAGGCCTCAGTCTGCTAGTTCTCCTCCGCTATTAACGCTTCCTCCTCTTCACTTTACCTTTACTCTTCTCTGCTCCGGCCACCAGCAAGAAAACGATGAAACCATGACCACGCCGGCGACGGGACCGCCACCACCGCGCACGGTCCGCAAGCTCCTAGTGGAAGTCATCGAAGCGCGCGACCTCCTCCCCAAAGACGGCCAGGGCAGCTCCAGCCCCTACGTCATCGCCGACTTCGACGGCCAGCGGAAGCGCACCTCCACCAAGTACCGCGACCTCAACCCCGTATGGAACGAGCCGCTCGAGTTCCTCGTCTCCGATCCAAACAACATGGACCACGAGGAGCTCGACATCGAGGTCCTCAACGACAAGCGCTTCGGCAACGGCAGCGGCCGCAAAAACCACTTCCTCGGCAGGGTGAAGCTCTACGGCTCCCAGTTCGCCAGGCGCGGCGACGAGGGGCTCGTCTACTTCGCGCTCGAGAAGAAGAGCGTCTTCAGCTGGATCCGCGGCGAGATCGGGCTGAGGATCTGTTACTACGACGAGATGGTCGCCGATGGCGACGATCAGCCCCCTCCACCGCAAGAACAGCAGCAACCGCCGGAGAATCACGACGGTCAGCCGCCTCCGGATCAGCCTCCGCCGCCTGTTGTCGTGGTGGAAGAAGGCAGAGTTTTCCAAGTCCCTGGTTCGGGCGACATCGGGCACAGCCAGAGGCATAACAATTACTACGGCCCCGACGGAGGATCTTACTCGCCGCCGGTCGTCGTTGTGGAAGAATCGCCGCCTCCGATTGTTCACGTCCACTCCGGCGAGCCGCCGCCGGGTCCGCATCCTGAACCTACGCCAGAGATGCAGTATCCCCTGCCTCCCGAAGCCAGAGGGATGCACGGCGCAAGAATGGTGAGCGGCGGCGGCGAGCGAGTTAGGGTTTTGAAAAAGCCAAACGGCGATTACTCTCCCAGGGTGATTTCCTCCCGAGTTCCCACCGATACGGAGAGGATTCATCCTCTAGATCTGGTTGAGCCGATGCAGTATCTGTTCATCAGAATCGTGAAGGCGCGTGGATTGTCGCCTAATGAGAGCCCCTATGTGAAAATCAGGACATCCAATCACTACGTCAGATCTAAGCCGACGAATTACCGACCCAGCGAGCCGCCCGACTCGCCCGAGTGGAACCAGGTCTTTGCGCTCCCCCACAACAGGCCTGACTCGGCGAGCACGACTCTAGAAATCTCTGTTTGGGACGCTCCGACGGAGCAATTTCTCGGCGGTGTTTGTTTCGACCTTTCCGATGTCCCCGTTCGCGATCCGCCGGACAGTCCGCTCGCTCCTCAGTGGTACCGTCTCGAAGGCGGTGAGCAAAATTCAGGCAGAGTCTCCGGCGACGTGCAGCTCTCCGTCTGGATCGGGACTCAAGCGGACGACGCGTTCCCGGAGGCGTGGAGCTCCGACGCGCCGTACGTCGCTCACACCCGCTCGAAGGTCTACCAATCTCCCAAGCTCTGGTACTTGCGAGTCACAATCATCGAAGCTCAAGATCTGAACATTGCCCCCAATCTCCCTCCCTTAACAGCGCCGGAGATCCGAATCAAAGGCCAATTAGGTTTTCAATCGGTCCGATCCCGGCGAGGCTCAATGAACAATCACAGCGCGTCGTTTCACTGGAGCGAAGACATCATTTTCGTCGCCGGCGAGCCGCTGGAGGACTCGCTCGTCTTGCTGGTGGAGGACCGGACGACTAAGGAAGTAACGCTGCTCGGACACGTCATCGTTCCGGTGAGCTCGATCGAGCAGCGGTTGGATGAGCGCCAGGTGGCATCAAAATGGTTCACATTAGAAGGCGGAACAAGCAGTATGGGCCCCGAACCAGGCCCGCCGGGGCCTGGCCCAGATGGCGGTGGGTCCATGTACTGTGGGAGGCTCCACCTCCGTCTTTGCTTGGAAGGAGGGTATCACGTGCTGGACGAAGCGGCGCACGTGTGCAGCGACTTCCGGCCGACGGCGAAGCAGCTGTGGAAGCCGGCCGTCGGAATCCTGGAGCTGGGGATTTTAGGCGCTCGCGGGTTGCTCCCGATGAAGAACAAAGGTGGAGGGAAAGGCTCCACCGATGCCTACTGTGTCGCCAAGTATGGGAAAAAGTGGGTCCGCACCAGAACGGTCACGGACAGCTTTGATCCACGCTGGAACGAGCAGTACACGTGGCAGGTCTACGACCCGTGCACGGTGTTGACCATCGGCGTGTTCGACAACTGGCGGATGTTCGCCGACCCGACGGAGGAGAGACCCGACTGCCGAATCGGTAAGGTCCGAATCCGCGTCTCAACCCTGGAGAGCAATAAGGTTTACACCAATTCGTATCCTCTGTTGGTCTTGTTCAGAGGCGGGTTGAAGAAAATGGGTGAGATCGAGATTGCGGTTCGGTTCGCCTGCCCGAATTTGCTGCCCGAGACCTGCGTGGTCTACGGCCAGCCGATGCTTCCTCGGATGCACTATCTCCGACCGCTGGGAGTGGCTCAGCAGGAGGCCCTGCGTGGCGCGGCCACCAAAATGGTCGCCCAGTGGCTCGCCCGATCCGAGCCGGCGCTCGGACCGGAAGTGGTCAGATACATGCTGGATGCTGATTCGCATACTTGGAGCATGAGGAAGAGCAAGTCGAATTGGTTTCGGATCGTGGCGGTTCTGGCCTGGTTGGTTGGGTTGGCAAAATGGTTGGACGATATCCGGCGGTGGAGAAACCCTGTTACCACGGTTTTGGTCCACGTGCTGTACTTGGTTCTGGTTTGGTTCCCGGACCTAATCGTTCCGACCGGGTTCTTATACATTTGCTTAATCGGAATCTGGTACTACCGGTTCCGGCCCAAGATCCCAGCGGGGATGGATATCAGGCTGTCCCAGGCGGAGACGGTCGATCCGGACGAGCTGGACGAGGAATTCGACACGATCCCGAGCTCGAAGCCGCCGGAGGTGATACGGGCAAGGTACGACCGGCTGAGGATGCTGGCGGCGAGGGTGCAGACGGTGCTGGGGGATTTTGCGACGCAAGGGGAGAGGGCGCAGGCGCTGGTGAGCTGGAGGGACCCGCGGGCGACGAAATTGTTCATTGGGGTGTGTTTGGGTATCACGATAGTACTGTACTTGGTCCCGCCGAAGATGGTGGCGGTGGCGCTGGGGTTTTATTATTTGAGGCACCCCATGTTCCGGGACCCGATGCCGCCGGCGAGCCTGAACTTTTTCCGACGGCTTCCCAGCTTGTCTGATCGGATAATGTAGATGAAAAAAAAAGAACAAAATTAGTGTTAGCTAAGCCTAGTAATTGGATTTTGGATAATAATGATCAAATTATTATTATTATTTAAGTATAAGATAGAAGTTTTGGAGGCACCAGATTGATGGTGGTGGGGAAGCAAAGGAATTGTGTTCTTTTGCCCTTTTTGGTTTCTTTATGAATTGGTGGGGAAATGGGAACTTTGAAATAAGGGAGAGGGTAGAAGACTAGAAGTCAAGGAGGAGAGCAGAGATTGGTGTAATGGTGTCTGTAACTTGATTATGGGAATAGAAGGAAAGAAGGATGCCACTAATGTCCAATTTGATTCTTTTTGCGGCTTTTCGTGCTTTGGGCTCAGGCCTTTGGGATCCGGTGGGCCTGAATATCTAGTGGGCGTGGCGTGCAGGATGTTGATAATAATGTAGTAGTAAGGGGGAGTGGAGCTCTCTCTCTCTCCTTGTCCTTGTGCACGGACGGAAAGAAAAATTGTCTGTTGAAATGGGGAAGTTTGTTTATGGTGTTATGTTAAGGTTTGAGAGGTTTGGAGTAGGAGATAACAATACCTAAATCTTGACTAAATTATGTTCGAAGTGACAAAACGGTAAAAATGATTGTTTCCTCTAACTATTAAATTATTAGCTCTAATTTAAGCACACACTTGTCAAAACATAATTAATCGATTATGCATTAAAGAGAGCCTCTACGACTCCCAGTGATATAATATGTTTCAATTGGTGTTCATCGCTTTCCTTGACTGAATTGGTGTTCATGTGCGTGAATGGCCGTTCACAGCTGCTGGTGGGATGCAGCAAGTTTGTTTGTTCGCCTCTAATGCACTATCCTTCTTTTGTTGTTGCTGTCTTGGTCCTCTTGGACTGCTTGCTCGAAGCTCGGACCACAACAGTCAAGCAATGGTTTTTGTTTGGCTTTGTTTCTTGCCAGACTTGGCCTCGTTTTGGTTTGTGCTTGGCATGCATTGTTTGTAGTGGTTATCCGGGCAATTGTTATGCTGCTGCTTTCCTAGATTTTTTTGCTTGCTGCCTCTTCCTTCCTCTTGACTTTCCTAGGCTTTTTGTTTGTAAACTCTCTCCTTTTATTAATATTATTATTTCATCCTTATAAAAAAAGATATGTTTCAATTTTCAAAGTAGGTGGTGTCGTGTAGATCTTATGTGCATTGTGTTGTTAATGAATTTATCAATTTGTCAATTTCACTTGTGTTCTCCTGATATTAACTATTATGTTTGTCGTTAAAATAAATTATGTATCACTATAACTATCACATATTTAACAAACATTCAACTTTTATTTCATATTAAAAAAGATGGACAAATCGCCAGAGCATAAACAAGTTGTTTTTTTACCGATATTCGCACATTTTCCCAAACTATAACGATATAGATTTCATGAGATGCATTGTGATACTTGTTTTTAGAAAAAAAGAGTGAAATAAATATAAACTAGAAAATGTCCCTTGAATGAGTGGCTTTCAAACTGAGGTACATATTAACATACAGGGTTGAGAAAGTCAAACAAAGCAACCCACTAATTTTAAAGGCTGAATTAGAACGACATTCGTCATTCTCCGTTAATCACATAGATTAAAGAGAGAAAACTTCAAATTTTAAAAAATTCCTTCACCATCCAACTTCACCCATCAATCAAAAACTAAATTTATTTCAACACACCCCCACACTACAAATATAGAAGGCCTTATAACTTTCCAAAATCAACAAAAAAAAAATCCCCAAAAACATTTTCTTAGGCAAAATCAAAAGGTCAAATAGGGTTGCAACACTAGCACCTGCAAACACCATTCTCAGGTTTAATTCTATTCAACGCGAATTGCTTTGTTATGTAAGATCGACTTGCTTCTTAATTACCATTTGATTTGCAATGTGGTATATATAGCAGATTAAATGGGAGGGACCGAAGAGACAGAGAAGAAACATGGTAGCGAAGAGGAAAAACACAACGAGGAGGACGACAAGGATCACAAGCAGGACGAGGAGGGAAAGAAGAAGAAGAACAAGAAGAAAGACAAAGAAAGTAAAGATAGTAAGGAGAATAAGGATAAGGAAGAAGATGGCGACGGGCACAAAGAGAAGAAGAAGAAGAACCCTGAAGATAAGAAGGACCCTTCTAAGCTCAAGGCCAAGCTCCAGAAGATAGAGACCAAGATGCAGGAATTGTCCCTCAAGAAAGAAGAGATCCTCAAGCTCATCCATGAAGCTGAAGCTAATCCTCCACCCAGCTGATCCAGGATCACAATTAAAATTCTGAACTCTTAATCAATTCTAGACTTGCATATAATGCGTGTCTTATGTATATGTATCGATTAATCAACAAATTAAAACCGGTTTGGTATGTTAATCAATCGCCATGATGTAAATTTCTATGACCGTTTTTCTTTGTAAATGTGTATATCAAGAATAAATAATATATGGAGAGATAATTTAAAAGTTGTAAAATGTTGTCATCGTTTATATTGCATCAATCTGAAAGTTAAAAAATCTGAAAAATTTGATGTCATCAAGCAGATCCAACTTGGTGAATAAAAATGAACAAACCATATACAAATTGTCAAGCATATCATAAAATAGGGGATGGGAAACATTCTTCTAATCATCGTGAGAATAAGAGATAATCCTTAGAATTCACCATGAACTATCCTTATAAGTTATAATAGCACTTGGGACGATATGGTAGCAACCCATTCGGCAAGAGGAGGGCTCGACGATGTAGGTGGGCTTTCGGAGTTAGTTGCTTTAATTATGTTATGTTCTTATTTGGGTTAGCTTGTGTTAGAGTAAGTACGTATGTTAGTGCATGGGCCAAGTAAGTAGTAGTAGGGGGATGGGTTACGTATTAAGAAGTTGAGCTAGAAGTTAGCTTGTGTTGGGATAGGAGAGGGCCGAGAGGCATAGGGAAGTAGTAGGGGTCGGCTAGAGGTTGATGGTTTACGTATTAGGTTTAGACGCCTATATATTGTAATCACGGCATTAGTCCGAGGAATCAATCAAATAATAAACCTAAAACAGTCTTTCGACACTTTACGTCGTTCTCTCGCTTGTGAGCTACAAGCAACCCTAAACCGATAGCAACAAGTTGCTATCACGATAAGGTAATATGTTGGTGGCATCGACTCCATCTTTCAAGGTTAAGATAACAACATTGGATGTTGAGCAGTAAGCAAGCATTTATTTGATGGGAGTTCTTGAAAAGTTCAACCCTGAAATTTGGTTACACATGGGAAAGGGAAACTTTCTTCTATTTCCTCCTCCCTCAAGATTGTATTTTTTTTCTCAGGATTCTATCAATTGCCCGTCAGATCTTCTGCACAAAGACTATGCTCGTCAGCCGGCCACCTACTTCAAGTTTAAGTGGAACTTTGATCTATCTTGTAAAAGTTAGAACTCTCTTTTTCACGCCTCTCAATTCAACCTTCCTCGTCTTTGAGAAAGTTGTAAACTTTTGTCCTGAATCTTACAGCTCAAGAAATCCTGCCAGGCCTGACAACACTTTTCAGGTTTACCCTTCCTGATCCCAGCAACAGCAAGGCACTAATGCTTTTCCTCTCGTCAACAACCTTTTAGGTTTGATGATCAGAAGCTGTAGTTGATTTCATTTCATCATCATCTTATATAGCTGGCCAATTACAGAAAGGGAGAATAGGACAAAGCTTGGGTCCTAAGCAAGTACAATGCAGAAATGGAAAGAAACATAAATAAGAACTTCACAAACTAGATGGCTGATGACTCGGTATATGCACATGTTTTCCCCTTTGTTTCTTGATTGTTTGAGCTTGAATTATTGCGTCTTTGTCCTATTTTATGCTAGGTTGTGTTCTTTTCTCACATTTCAGGTCCTAGCACATAAAGTGAAGCATAGGCGCAAGTTTCAAATCAATCAGAGATCAATTGACGATTCGGGAGAAGAAACTCGGGCATGACCTGAAGAAGAATGGATTTCTACCTCACTTTATGGACAAAGAATCATGCAAGCTTGTCATGAAAAGAAAGAGGACGAGACTACGAGCGTTTGGGATCAAACGGGGACTGATTCGGAGTCCGGACAAGGGAGAAACGAAGCATTAAACAGAGGCTGAGCAAGCCACACGGGCATCCTGGAACTCCACACGGCCGTGTGGGTCGTAGCCGTGTGGAAATCACCGAGCCTTCACACGGGCAGCTGGGAAAGCCACACGACCGTGTGGCCTGACCGCGTGATCGGGAATTTCTGTTTAAAACTCGATTTTCAGCCAAAGGAAAGGGGAGAGCTGGGTTTTTGGTTCGTAAACACCCAAGGGACGAACCCTAGAGAGAGAGAGCGACTTGGGAACATTCTTGGAGCTATTTTGGAGGATTTCTTCGCCATTGGAGCTCGGGAATCAAGCTTGGAGATGGAGATTGAAGATCTAGATCAGATTTCTGCAGTCTCTCTCTTCTCTATGGAGTAACTTCCCTTCACTTAGGTTTTGAGGAACCCTAGTTCCATGTGTTAGGATCTTTCTTGTATGAAGTTTTGGATGCTATATTGTTTGATTATAATCGATTGAAGCAGGATTTATTGAGTCAATTGAATCTTGATCAAATTCTCTTGATTTCTGCTTTAACCTATGATAGATAGAATCTGATTAGGTTAAGAGAGCTTCCTTGATTGATGGTGGTGAATTGGTTATACGAGAGTTAGTCAATCTACTGCTTTGTACTGGAATCCAATTCCGGTAGTGGAGTTTTGTGTTCATAGCCTCAGCTTTCTATCCCGGTGAAGGTTAGTCGCCTGCCGGGTAGTTGGACTGAGAGGGCTTGGTCAGCTTAAGAGATTCCAAATTACTGTCGGATCTTCCGCAGTTTAATCAACAGTAGATCAACCAAAGGTAATTGCAACTTGGACCTAATTTAGGAGCTAGGGGGAATCATACCTAAGTGAGTTCCCAACTTGTAATTAGTAGAGTAGTCAGTAGAGTAGTTTATAAATCAACCCTTAATCTAGTTTGCTAGATAATGAACTGAAGCTGAGTAATAGTAACTCTAAAGACCCGTGGATTCGATATTTATTACTTGTGCCACTATACTGCAGTCCCTTTCATTGGTTACACTTGGCCATTGTTAGGTGTTGTGTTCTAGCGTGTCAATGGCGATTTGCTGGAAACAACATTGCTCCAGCTTCTCTAATGATTCGGTCTTGGCAGAACAGCGTCGTCCGTTTTAACAATCACGGGTCTTGGCACAACGACATCGTTTGGTTCAACGATCATCTTCTTCAAATGCTATGAATTCAATTTGGGGGAAAAGTAGTGTTTTTACCTAATACCCACCACCACCACCACGCGCAAGCTGGTGGGCACAAATTGAGCACACCAAGCTTAGAGAAAAAGGTGGTGAAGCTAGCCGGCGGGAGAGACTTCGTGAGGATGTCGGTCAGCTGATGAAGGGTGGAGACATGAAGGATCTTGATGGTACCTGCAAGCAACTTTTCAGGGACAAAGTGGAAATCAAGCTTAGTATGCTTGGTTCGTTCATGGAATGTTGGATTTTCAGCGATGTACATGGCTGATTGATTGTCGCAGAAGAGCATTGCAGGTTGAGGATGTTGAATTTCGAAGTCATGGAGCAAGTATAGGAGCCATTGGACTTCGTAGGTCGTGTAGGCAAGAGCTCTATACTCTGCCTCACAAGACGATCGAGAAATGGTGGTTTGTTTCTTACTCTTCCAGTAAACAAGGGAATCACCCAAGTATACACAGAAGCCGATGACAGAATGACGAGTGTCAATACAAGCCACCCAGTCAGAGTGGATGCCTTGAGGCAAAGCGAGGAAGAGGAAGAGAAGAAGATGCCACTTGAAAGAATTGTCTTGAGGTAATGCAGGACGCGAAGAACAACTTTAAAATGAGTGTTGTTGGGGTTGTTCATGTATTGACTAACCTGTTGGGTGGCATAGCTAATGTCAGGTCTTGTGGTGGTGAGGTAAATGAGCTCCCCAACCAACCGCTGGTAGAATTATGGATTAGGGTAAGGGTCAGAATGTGAAGCAGAGAGATGGACCTTGTAGTCAATTGATGTGGAAGCTAGTTTCGAATGTAATAGGTCTGCTTCCTCCAAAATTTTCAGTGTGTATTTCCTTTGAGAAATGTGGATGCCTTGCTTGCTTCTGGTAACTTCAATGCCAAGAAAAAACTTGAAGTTATCAAGGTCCTTGATGCTGAACTCTTAGTGAAGAAAGGGATTGAGACGAGTGATCTCATCAAGGTCATAGCCAACCACGACCAAATCATCAGCATAGACAAGAATATTGGTATAGGAGTTGCCATTTGAATTGAAAAAGAGGGAGTGATAAACCTTTTGCTGAATTAATAGCTTTGATTTGTTAACGTTTCAGCCAATTTGGGAAATCACTGTCTGGAAGCCTGTTTCAGGTCATATAGAGATTTTCTGTGTTTGCAGACAGGGTGTTTAAAGCCAAGAGGAGGAGAATAGCTTGGAGGAAGCCTCATGTAGACATCCTGGTCCAAATCGCCATGTAAGAAGGCATTGTTGGCATCCAGGTGGTGAACAAACCAAGACTAAGCAGTTGCAAGGGCCAAAACAGTATGCTGGTAGTCATTTTGACCACTGAAGCAAATGTGTCTTGGTGGTCCACACCTTTTTGCTGAGTGTAGCCTTTGGCTACTAAGACCAACTCCAGTGCAAGCCCCCAAATTTGGGGTTCATCCCCATTTTCCCTTATTTTGCTCTAATGTTACATCCTCTATATTTGGAGATCTCCATTTTTTAAGTTTTTCATTTACTTAAAAATGTATTTATCGAAGTCTTAATATAATTTGTTCATGTTAATTTTTGTATAGTTCGTCATCATTTTTAAATACAAATTATCCGGTAGAAATTTTTTTAATTTTGAGACCAAATTTTTGTTGACAAAAAATGATTGACCTAATTTGGGTTTACACACAACACTTGAAAATTATTGATCTAATTAAACCCCTAACTAATCCCCTAAATAAACCTCAATTAACCCTTAAAATCTTAAAAAGAAAAAGAAACGCCACGTGGTGAGCTTTGGGGAGTCTCTATATTTGGGGGAACCCCCATTTCCACCCCCAAATTTGGGGATCATTTTGGAGATCTCCCCCAAATATAGAGACTCCTCCATTTATAGAGGCTCCATTGGAGCCAACTTTCCCCAAATATAGAGACTCCCCCAAATATAGAGGCTCCATTGGAGTTAGCCTAATCTAGCTTTCCTTCTTTCAAGACTATCATCTGAATTGAACTTAAACGTGTAGACCCATTTGTTGCCTATGACCTTGGCACCAGGAGGTCGCTCAACAATGTCCCATGAGTGATTGGCCTTAAGGGCTTTGTCCACCGATAATTAAGTCTATTAATCACCGATTTGAGCGAATTTATTTTCAAATGGCATTTTCATAATTTTTTGGGCAATTTTTTTTTCGAAATGCCATTTTACTTGGATTTTGAAGGCTACAGATCACGAATTCGGTTTGGTAGTATTATTCAACGATGATTAAGTCCATTAAAAACCAATTTGGGTAAATTTATTTTTGGATGACATTTTTATAATTTTTTCTGTAATTTTTTTAATGCCATTTTACATATATTTTGATGGCTACAGAACACGGATTCTGCTTGAGC